TGTAATACACAAGATATGTGTTAATCAACCATTTATGTTATTGATGAGGCTTCTGGTCAACAGCAGACTGTTACTCGTTAAGTTTTGGGAGCATCAAAAGTTATTCTCTGATTTGTGATTATGTGTGGGGGGGTCAGTCCCCATTACTTGATGTTGTTCAAGGGTCACCTGATATTTTGCTTGAAGTCATAGTTTGCAAGAACCTATTGTTAACATTGTATGAAGATTTACTGAATTATGAATATACCTGCTACTATTTCAAATTGTGCGTGGGTATTTTGTATTTGATAGGATCTAGTTAAAAAAAAAACACACTAAATTCAAAGTAGCTCTTTTTGTTTTCTTGTATTTTCTTTTTCAGGATGTTAGGAAGCATAAAGCATTTGGGGCTGGGGAGCAAGATGGAAGAAATAAAGGATATGTCAAGTTGTTGCATAATGTACATTATATATTCAGGAAAATGTGCAGAAGTTGTAGTAAACTGCTGTTGTGAGGGAGTGTTTTCTGTTACAAAGAATTGAAAATACATAGAGGGTGATTTGTATGCGTGGGTATCACCTATTTATTGTGGGCACCACCAGTTGGAAGAGGGAGGAAAAACTAAATAGATATCCTTATCTTTGTCTGCTGAGCAGTTAACTAGCTCAGAGATACAAGTAATTCTTTGCAGTGTCTATCCTTTAAACAGACCCACTTTCTCACCTGGTTCAACAGCTAGATTGAAAACTTGCACTGTACCACTAGTCTTTGCTCCTGCTTATGAGGATATACTAGATACCTTAAACAATGGTGAGTGGAAGAGGATCTATATTCCTTTGTTCATGAAGCATGAAAAGATGGGTTTGGGACCAGTTGTTTCACCACATGGACTGATGATCCCTGTGTGACTGCCTCTCTGTCTGCTTCCATGAAAAGGAATAATGGTCTTGATCAGGGTATGGGTATGTTGAGACAGGACTAAGTTCTTGGGTGATTTATTTTGAGTGTGGGACTTTCTGTGGGTTCTGCTGGTAGGAGCCTATAGCTCTGCCTCAAGCCTTAAGGTAGGGGAGGAGCACTTCTCAATTAGAATCCTTTCTATTTCGCTTTTCCTTGAAGGCCTTTTCTTGCCCTTCACATTTCCTCCTCTTTTCTCTCCTCCTTCCTTTTTTTTTTCATTCACTCCCCTCTTTCATTTCTTAAGTAAATTAATTCCATAGTTAGCAAACAGCTTCTTTTAGCCAGACTTGGTTAAATAATTATATAATATTGAATGAAAAAAAGGTCCCATGTTAAGAGCACATTCTATTGAAGTTCCTTAGAGGAACTTCCAGCTGAGCATAGATGAAAAAAAGTGGGAGGAAAACAATTTATGGTTGCAACAAAGACACTCTTCTTATGAGTATTATTGTTGTTAAACTCATACATATATATAATTTATGTGACTCAAGCTGGCCCTGAAGTAATATTAACTTTAAGATTCTCAGCACTGTCTGTGTGTCTGCCCAGTGCCATATATCTGAACAGATAAACCCAGTGAATGAATATAACTCTTAGGAGTGGTTGATACACCGTGAGACTCATGCCAGAAGCCACAATTCATTCTGTGGCACCCTGACAATCTCTGTTCTTCATGTGATGAAAATAGTTATTTTCATTTACTCTACATTGCATCCAGTTAGCTGTGAGATTAAGAAAAAACAATAATGATTAACAAAATTACTTAAGTAATCTGCTACAGCTGGACTTGAAAGATCATCTTGTGACTCAGCACTTTATTGCCCTCGTAGGAATTCTAAATCAAATGGAGGTTTACTAAATTTGTGGATGTTATACAGAAAGTTAATGGCAAGTAGAATCTGTAGTTTTTGATTGTGTTCTTATTAATAATCTATTATGCTACCTTTCTTATTACAAAAGTCTGTGATAAGGATCAAATGAATAGGTAGAAACTACTATGAGATAAATTTTTCTATTTGCTTTTTATTGTTAGGAAGTATATGTAATCCTTTGCATTGTCATTTCTTGATTATTTGGCACTGTGCAAGCAGGGATCATTTTTGATGGCTCGGTGTGTCCCTGTTTTCAAGGTCAAAGCATTACATTAGGTATCTGGCATGCTAATAAACTGATATTCTTTGAAACTGAAATTCTTTTCATTATTTTTAAAGGGTATACATAGATAAACTGATTAATAATAAAAATTATTTATACCCATAGAGGAATTTATCACATTCATTGCAAATGTTTTTCTTAATAATTTCTTAGGAGCCATATTAAGCTGATTAATATTTAGGTAAAAGAATGTACTTGCTTTTGATTTTATAATTATTTCCTTGAAACTTTTTTTTTAAGATTTATTTTATTTTGTTTTTGCATATAAGAACTGGGGTGTAGGCCATAGATGCGGGAGGTGAGAGGATTTACCTGAGACAGGGTTAGGAGCAGAACAGGCAGGTCTACTGATATACGCTGCTGAGGGGAGCAGCAGGTGAGACAGGAGAGGTCTGTTGTGCCATATGTGGATTAGCTCCCTAGTCAGGGATCAAACTCTTGCCACAGTGACTGGTGATAGCTTGATAGACTTTAACTCCTTGCGCCACCAGGGAGGCCCTCTTGTAACTTTTAACTTCAGGCACTTGTTAGATGACAAATTTTTGAGATTCACCAAGTAGTAAACATTTTTTCTAAATTTTATTGTTCTTTATCATCTCAGGAAATAAAAATTTAAGATTTTTTTAGTGGTATTAGGTCAAATGTTTTTCTTAATCTCACTAAATAATAAGACTATATTATCAGTGAATTATATTTATAGGGACACTATGAATAATATAAAACTTTTTGGACAATTCACTATTTTAATGTTTCAGTGTACACACCCTAACTTTATCTTATTGATGAGAACTGTTCATTAATGCTTTTTGTAAGCTGTTTTAATCTATCATCATCATCCTCCTCCTCCTCATCATCATCATGCCCTTTTTAATTTTTTCCCTACCACCATTCCATATGCCCCTTTCACCATTTCTCCTTCCTTCCTTTCTTTTACTCTCAGAAGTCGTACTTTATTAATATCCATTAGTTTTTTCATTTTTAAAACCTCTGAATTTAGCCTTAACAATAAGTGTTTAACTTTGAAAAACTGACTAGTAAGCATAAATCTGTAAAGGATGAGTAGTATTGCCAATATTAGATTAAATCTCACTGGAGAAGGTAGACTGAATAAAGTATCTAGGTCGTAGTCTGTTTTTTCCAACTTTCCTGAGAATTTACGATAACTTTTCAGGAATAAGTTTCTGACTAAATCTTGTAAGATAGCATCTATTTCCCACAGTTGGGCATCTGGCAGTATTGTATTGTGGATCAGGTACTAGATGTTCAGCAGAATTATAGTGAGAGGGACTGACCTGCTCAGTACTTTATTCTGAATCGCCATGGCCTATTTTTAGCTCTTAAAAGCAGTCAGAGGAGACCACTTTTGTCAGTGAAATGGCATTCACATCTGATTCAGAGAGCAGGTCATGTGAGCAGAATGGAAGCTACACCAGGTATTTGTCCTCTTGTTTAAAAAATGATAGTGGCCAGGATGAGAAAAAGGGATAATAAAAATAAAAATGAACAAAAGTTGTACCAGCTCTGTAGAGAAAAAATGAAAAAGACTTTACTGATAATATATACAATAAGATATGACTACATGGAAAAATACTGTTTGCCATAGAAAGTTGCCACTATAAGTTCTCCTTTAATAAATCTTACCCAAAATTTCTGCTCATGTGACCTCTAATCATTGAAACCTTCTTAGGCCAACCGATACAGTTGCTTGATTTTTCTCCATAACATTAGTCCCCATCTGATAAAACTATGTCTGATTTGTCTTGTTTCTGCATGTGAAATTTATGAAGGTATGTATGTATGTATTCTCATCTACTAGAGTGTGGACTTATGAGGGTATGTTTTATTCCTTGTGGAATCCTCACTCAGTACCTTGCACCTACAGCACATAGGAAACAGTCGATGATAGGTGAACGGATGAATAAAACTGGCCTTTCTCTCATAATTCATAGCACTTACTGTCTTTTCCATAGTTTTCTGGTCATTGATTTTGTTAAGCTTAGCATCTTATAATGCTTTCTATTTCTCTCTTTTAGTTTAATGTCTTTTATTCTCATAAGACTGTCTTCTGTGTGCTCTTGATGGCAGGAGTGGGGCAAATGCTTCCTTTGTATACCTCATAGTGTGGGACGAATGGATGTGGAGATTTGTTGAATGCATTTATTTATTCATGATGATTTCAATTGCTAAAATCTACTTTGTCATTATAAAAATGAATGTTTTCTTATTGGTTAATACAATACAATTTCAAACAAAAATCGGGTGTTTTGGGTTTATTTTTAAGAATGGAAAATGTTTAGATTTGCTTTCTTGATTTTATGGTAAATTTTGGCATCTAGAAGGTGGAATTTTTGCTACAGTAATTTTATAAATTCTGCAAACAATTTGAGTGAAAGAAAAGTAACAATTTTTAGTGAGATGTGGATTTCTTACCTTGAAATATAAAAATTTTACATTGTCTTTATATGATAAATTGGAACTTAGTTTTAAAATCAAATATTCTAAATAAATGCAAGTGTGTAGTATGCTTCAACCTTTGTATGTGCCTTGCCATTTATACATATACACATTCTTAAAATAAATATATTTTCATGCCAGCATATCATTTAGCAGTTTTTCTTGTGTATATTACAGTCACTAGATTTTAGTCATTTCTGATATTCTGTAAATATTTCTGACTATAGATTTTATATGCTATTTCTTGCAGTAAATTTCCAAGAGTATATTTAATATTTTCAGATGCAATTATTTTAGGTTACTGAAACAATACTGTAAATTTTTAAGAGGGAAAATTGAAAAGTTAAGGGTAAAAGTTTTGTTGGTTCTTTAATTCATATGATGTTATTTATTAAAGTTTCTATTATTATTATTATTATTATTATTATTATTATTATTTTGCTTTATTTCAGACCAGTCTGTCCATATGGGGATGGGGAAGCCTTGTCATTGTCCTTTCTCTAATAACCTTTGGACCCTTTGTGATATTATATTTGGCATTTTATATCCTCTGCTTTGTGGGTGGGTAAGTACACATCGTGATTATTTTACAATTCCTGTGTCATGTTGTTTTGTTCAAAATTGAGACAAATGGCCATGAGAAATGGAAGAATGATTTATTTATGAATGCTGTTTTTGTAAATTGTTTTTGAGTAGTGAGTTTAAAAAAGTAAAATTAGATACTCATGGAAATGAAAGTGGTGAGAGTTATAATTTGTGCCAGAAATATGGGTAGTAAGTACTCTTCAAAACTAGAATTTCAGTTCTAATGATAGAACTAGATAGAACTAGTGATAGAAAATTTTTTGTAATAGTATGACATTTTTAATTTGGTGTAGTCCTCCTTTAAGGTAGAATTTTCCTCATATACTATCTATTATTTAAGATGACAAACATGTTAAATTCTACTTTTACATTGTAGAAGATACTCTTGTTAATTAGGCTTTAGACAATAAGGTTAATTATTCCCCTTAGTGAATGCTGTCGTTTTAGTTAAGAAAATTCAACACACACAATTTTGCAGTTTTCCCTTCATGGTTACTTGGTGTACATACAAGTATTTACCTTGAATTGCTATATTTTTGAAAGAATATTTTCTGTCATGATTTAGTGTTGTTTCTGGTGCAAACCATTTGGTATCAGACATGAATTATATGTAAGAAAATGTATAAACAAGTGAAGTACTTGTTATTTACGTACTCTAACAAAGGTAACCTAGCTGAAATGAGTATTTTTTTGTTAACATGTGTGTGTATGTATATAAACAATACATTTATGTAATTATGTTTGCAATGAATATCCTCTGAGTCCTTTTAAACGTCTTTTGAGACCTTCAACATTTGGAGGAGTTGTTTAAACCTATAGATTTAAATTACTTAACTGAATTGAATAATATATATAAATTGTGACCCAAGAGACTGTGTAAAACACTAATGGTGTGACTTCTGAATATATCTACCACTTATATCACCTCTTTCAGCATAGGTTTTGAAAATCATGGGTAGCTGTTTTATATTGAATATATTCACTTATTGTTGAACAAGTGAGAATTAATTAAACAGAGCAGCTCTCTCAAGGACTATTCGTCAAAAGATATTTTCTGTTAGAGTTGGTATTTTCATGATAATTGCTTAGATAGGATACTGCACAGTGAAATAATTGAGACATGAGCGATAGGAATCATATAACTAAGTTCAGAATATTTTTATTGATTATAAAGCTGATCAGAGACTGTATAGATCTGTAGTTATTTGGGCTTCCTAATTAGACTGTTGAGTCACATATTTAAGGTCAGAGCGTGAATGAATACCCGCTTGGTTAGAGCCCTTCCCCACAGAGTTGTGGCTACATTTATCCAGTGTAAGGGAGATTATTCTGAGGTATTTCTTGTAAAATGATAGATTTCTTTTATTTCACTAATATAATAAGTTCTTAGCAAAAGTAAAGGAAAAGGATTTCAGAATACTTTCCAGTACTTCAGAAAGGAAGGAAGTTGTAGCTTTATAGACAAAGGTAGATGCCCTGGGAATTCTTGGAAGTGGAAAGATGGTGAACGATTTTCCTTAAATTATTTCATATAAAATTTGGGAAAGGGAGAAGGTTGGTAATCTTTTCATTTAAAAGTCACAAGAACCTTTGTTGATCCCTTTTTAATTCTGTTAATTTATCAAGAAATAATTTCAGAAAAATATTTTGTGGATATGTGTAAAGCTCTCTAAAAATCTTTAGATAAGGTGGGATAATGGGGGATATGGGAGGGGCAATAAAAAGTCTAGATAATAATTGACAGTCACGTGGTAGGATCTGAAATTCCAAGTTTTGTTATATTATGAATTACCTGATGTCATTTGGTACATTTTAAATATAGGAAGTGTTGATAATTTAGATAATACTTAGAGTAAAGCTGTCCTAAACCAGAATTTATCTTACCTTATCTCTCTATTTTTTTAAAAAATAATCTTTGGGGGATATATTTATTTAAATTCCAGGGTTTTTTTTGTTTTTAAATAATGAATTATTTTTTTCTGTAGAGAATTTGTTTATTTTGTATTGATAGCACCAAATTATTATCTCATGTCACTGAAACGATAGAATTGTGTGATTAAGATACAGATTTAGATATCATTTGTCTTTATAATTGGTTATTTAGCTACCATTTATTTAATAAAGGCTGTTTTTTCTCAAGTTTGAAAACATTGCCTGAGGTTCATTATGAAATATATTTGATTAAATCTTTGAAAGGCATTGTATAAATGCACAAAATGTTTATAGTTGTTGTAAACCTAAGAATATAGGACTGAGGTGATGGTGCACTGGTGCATTGGTGAAGGAAACTCTATGGGGACTATACCTGAGGGTGGGTGGGGGGAAGCAAATATTGTTTAAATAATGAACAACAATGTAAAAAAAAATTTAAAAATTAAAAAAAAAGAATATAACATTGTCTGTCAATATCTTGCATTACACAAGTCACATATTGACTTTCCATTGAATGACAAACCATCTATTAAATCTGAAAAATTTGGCTGGTAATATTTGTGCTAAATGATAGTAAAATTTTGTTTTTGATTCTATTAAATACTTTTTTAGGGGTTTTGTGGTTACTCTCCTGTTTGGAAAAACAAACTCAGAGAGGTATCTAGAGCAGTGTGAACACTCATTTCTTCCTCCAACATCAACTGGGATTTCTAAGGTAAATAGGGTGAAGGAATGTGCAACCTCAAAGTCTGTTTCTTTGCAGTTATAATAATGTGATTATCTGTATATGGCTTGACAGATTTCCTACAATTCACTAATGTTCACTGTAAATTTATAGGACATATTCCAATCACACTTACAAAATGCATTTTAAAAGATCATCTTTAAAACTGTCATGTTAGATGGTGAAAATTTGAAAAAAAGTAGAAATTTGGGGGTCTTTCTTGTCTTAATAAAGTGTCATGTGTATGATTTGTGAGGATGTCAAGTATACTGCTTTGAGTGAAATCAATTGTATATTAACAAGAGGAGAAGAAATGGACACTGTTTTTCCTAACTCACTCTAAAAATATTTTGTCATTACTCACTTGCAATTAGGTTACATAGGAGAACCATAGGGACTACACCTGAGGGGAGAAATCAGTTATGTCTAAAAATTGACAACGATGAAAGAAAATAAATAAACAAATTAAAAAAGATACTTTCATTGTAAAAAAGTATCTGATTTTAATAATTTATGTTATTTTATATTATCTTGAATGTTGCTTTTTTCTTTTATTTTTTTCTAATATCATACTCTATGAACAAAATTGTAATTGAGTATATAAGCAGACTTCAGATTTGCATTACCTGCAGTTCTTTTGTGGGGTTGGGATGTTTTGATATTATATGAAGAGATACAGATGGTCTGGTGTTGATACCAAGAACTTAACTTTAAAGTTGTAGAAGATGCACAGAAAATAATAAGACGTAGAAGATGCACAGAAAATAATATACAGTATTTTTTTAATTACTGAAATAAAAAATTCACCCTATCTTAGTAGTTCATATTGATACTTTTTTTTCCTTTCACTTACAACTTTTAAAATCTCTAAGATTTTATTTCTGTTTTCCTTGAGGGCTCCAGTTACATATTCTTTGAGCTTGTTCACAAATTTTGCTGAAAAAAATGAACTTTTTAGTAAATTATTTCTTACCCATCCATAGTTTCCACTCATTTGAGTGGTAGATACAGAGAATGGGAAATATTTTAAGAATTAAGAGACTACACAGTAATAAATCATAGTTGGCTGATTAAGAATTTACAATCTTATTTTATAGTAAGTGGTGTACAAAATAGTAATTTTGGCTTTCTAGTTCTAAAATGATTTTATAAATGCATTTTATGGAAAAAATCTTAGAGATTGCATGTTATAGCCTGAAGCAAGTAATTTATGCACATACACACATTTACACACACTATATATATAAATATATATATGTGTTCATATTTGGGTTTTAGTTTGTATTTTTGAGAAGTGTTTTATTACTTTTCACCCTATTTCTAGGCCACTGATCTTTTGAGGACTACAGAGAAATTAGACTTTTTTTTTCCTTTGGTTGCTTAATACCATCCCTACATAGAATCAGTACAAATATATTAATTTGACAAATGGTATACAGCTTTGACCTGGGGAGGGATTAAGGAGAAGTGTTTCATAAAGACAATTAATGATTAATTAGACTAACCTAAAACACTGATTTATGGTTTAAAATTTCATTGAATCATGGAAATAATATATCTGTATATTTCCAGTTTTCTCATTTTCTACAATGTTTGTTACTTTTATTAAAATTTTGAAGATAATAATCTCTGCTCCCTGTCCCCCATGTCTCATTTTGTTAACTAGAGTAATGATATTTGTTTTACACTAGAGTCTCAAGAAATAAGGTTAGTTTTTGACTTGAAAGTAATGACAGGAAGGTAAAATGATTTTAGAGATTTTAAGTCAAGAAACTATGCAATAAAGTATGTTTTTCCTTTAAGTGCTTGGAAGAAATGAAAAGGGAAGCCAGAACAATAAAGATAGATAGAAGATTGACGGGTGCCAATATAATTGATGAACCTCTTCAGCAAGTGAGTTTCAGTATGTGGTATTTGAATTCCATATCTTGTGTTCTAGGTATATTTCTTTTGAAGATATTAAGAAATACTTTCTGCTATTTAATTTGCTGGAAATTCATTATAACTCTATCCTTGGATTCTGTCTTCACTTATTTATGAACTCAGTAGTAATAAGATATTTACTTACTATTTAAACCTTTTGATTGAATTTGCATTCAGTTTATTGACATATTTTATGTTTCTAGTAATTTTGTAGTTAAAGTGTTACTCTTTAGCTGATCAGGTTTGGCACCAATCAGATATTTTTTCTACTAGCGTTATAACTTTTTAAAATGGGAAATAACTGGTTTGAGCCAAAAATACTAAAAAATTAGATTTAAAAGATTATTCTCCATCTGAATGTTTTATATTGATGTTAGTTTGATTATATAAGGGTTGTAAGTATGTACTTTAAAATTCTTAACATTTATTTTATCTGATTTGCAAAATATTATATATTAAGTTGTATAATTTGCTACTTATTGCCTAACTTAAATATATTCATTTGATACTATTGGCAATATCAAAGGTATTAGTATTAAGTGAATTGTCATTTTTGTAATTTAACACCAGTAAAACTGATAATAGCATCTTGGAATAATGGTTCCTTTTTGAGATTAGGGTCCATTATTTTAGTTCTCATTATTTCAGTTCTCATTAAACCTCTTCATTATATAAAGCACTAAAAGTTTGTTGTTGTTTTTTCCTGTGAACTCCATGTTTACTTGAATTTGGGTGAAGTTTGGCCATTGATAACTAGTTTTTAAAAATTGGGAAAATTAATAATTTGGTGTAATGTAATTATTAAAGATTTTGAAATGGCTCTTAGCATTGATTCTCTCATAATGAAGTCAGTTACTTACCACTGCCATTAAGTATTTGAAAAGTAAATGTATTTTGGCAAATAATCCTTGTTTTCATTTGACAGTTTTTCTTTTTAAATTTTAAAAACTTGTATTTTTTTGTTGTTAAATATTTCTGTTGTAGGTTATCCAGTTTTCCTTGAGGGATTATGTCCAGTATTGGTATTATACACTAAGTGATGATGAATCTTTTCTCCTTGAAATTAGGCAGACTCTTCAAAATGCACTCATTCAGTTTGCTACTAGGTAAGGTCATAGCATTGTATTTGTGCAGAAAAATGTGAATACATTGTTTGTATCAATAGGAAAATAGCTGTTTAATGGGTGGAGAAAATTGTGATTAAAAGGTAAGTAGAACACTATATAATATGGTGAGATAACTTTTGATTATCTCTGAGGTAGAGCCTAAGAACCTATAAGTTAGTCACTAAAATTTAACCTTCACTTTTACAGGATGTTTATTGTGATTAAGCACTGTTCCTCAGTTTGTATGCCAGTTTCGTCCTTGATCCAGTCATGTGACTTTCAAAGCCTTTCACCCTGCTTACTGATAATGCTCCTCCTCCCCTCACATTTAACCAAATACTCTTATTTGAGTGCTATGAAAATTAGTTTCAGTGTAAGCTCTCTTACTTTTGGCACATCCTCCTAGAGAGCAAAGAAACCAAGGGAAGATAAATCTGTGGAGAATACTCAGTTTATTTTCAGAATATAAGTATTAAAAATTGCTTTAGGAAACTCTTCTTCTGAGATATCCTAAAATCCTCACTTTACAAATCCACTTAATATATTTCTGCTCATACAACAAAATTGTTTTAGTGTATATCCTTGCATTTAAAAATGACTTGATTTTGCGGTGGGTGGCATTTCCAATTTCATCTTCCAGAAGTTATTTATTTTTTAAAGAATTTCATGTTTGTATGAGTTTGCAATTTTGACTTTTTTTATTGGGGCTGTGTTAATTTATAGCCTTATAGAGGTTTTTGGTGTATGTTTTCTTTCCTCAGCTATTATATATATCACACTATGTCCACCACCAAATATCCATTCACCATATACAACCAACTTACTAGACTTGCCTACCCATTTCTTCCACTGACCTTCCCCTCTGGTAACCACCTTTCTGTTGCCAGAGTCTAAGTGTTTGCTTTTGTTTTGTTTGTTCATTTGCTTTATTTTTTTCTATTACACAAGCAAGTGAAATATGTGGTATTTGTCTTTCTTTTTCTGACTTATATTACTTAGCCTAATCCACTCAGGGTCCACCCCTGTTGTTGTAAATGACAAGTTTTCATCATTTTTGGTGGCTGATTAGTATTCCATATATACATTATATGTGTGTGTGTGTGTGTGTGTGTGTGTGTGTGTATATTATATATATATATACACACACCACATTCTTCATTATTCATTAATCTGTCACTGAGCGCTTGGGTTGTTTCCATAGCCTAGCTATTGTGAATAGTGCTGCAGTGAGCATGGGGGTGCTTACATCTTTTTGAATAAGAGTTTTCATTTGCTTTAGCTAAATACACAAAAGTGGGATTACTGGATCATATGGTAGTACAATTTTCAATTTTTTTTAGAAATCTACCATACTGTTTTCCACAGTGACTCTTGTATAGGGAACTTAACCAGGGTCCCATAAAGGCCTATAGATGTATGCAAAACTTTTCCCTTCTACTTGAGTGTCTCCATAGATTTCATTTTTTAAAGGGCCTATGAAAATGAAACCAGAAGGATTTAAAAATCACTGAAATCCACTGTTCATATTTATATGTCACTTTGGGGAAATAAGTATAGCATGTCAGAGTAAAATGAAATGTGAATTTTGAAACATAATGTGAAGAAAAATATATAGGAGAGTCTGAAGTCCTAGCATTGAACTTTAGCTGTATTAGTTATTAAGCTCTGGGACCTTTAGTGGGCAAAACATGTAAGTTCTTTGAGTTTGGGGGTAATCTATATCTACTTATAGGTTGTTATTAGGATTGAATGACATTACATGTGAGAGAATACTTTTGTAATGATATAACTCCTGATGTTAATTAACATAGTATCTATCCCCAGTAACAGTTTGGAGAAGTAAATCTTCCTAGATTTTTGTTGAATTGTCTGCAGAATTTGGGCGCAAATTAGGCTAGGATTTAAGGGGATGAATACTTCATAACATATTCTAATTCCTTCTTCAAGTAAGATGTTATGACCAGAAGTCCAGGAAGATCTATATTATAATTCTACCTATACCATTAAATTACAGTGCACTTAAAAGAAAATTACTTAACATGTTTGTAAAGCAATAATATATAGTAGTACTTACTACAAACTTGGAGTTGTGTGGAGCAAATGAGTTTATGTGCATGAAACATTTCTTGAAGTATTTCTTAATAAACGACATTTTGGGTCCTCCTGGGTGGCGCAGTAGGTTGAGCACAGCACTGTGAGACTGTCTACAGCCTCTGCAGCACAGGTTCGATTCCCAGCCGGTCAGGGAGATACCCACATGGCACAGCATACCTCTCCTGTCTCTCACACTGTTCCCCTCAGCAGTGTTTTTGGTTGTCTGCCTGATCTGCTCCCCGCTTCCCTGATCTCGCTTTGTCTCTGGTGAGTTCCCTCACCCTCCCGCTCCTCTGGCCTGTATCCCAGTTCTTGTATAAATAAAAAAAATATTTTAAAAAAAATGACATTTTGATTTGATAAGCATATGTGCTTGGTTCTTATATAATTATCACTGATAAATATACTTTTAAGAGGCTTTTATATATTTATAAACAAACTAGAAAATATGCGCTGCCATGCTTATTATTTTAGTCATTTCTGTGGAAAAATATAGTGGCATCAGAAACGTAAAATTCAGAATTCTTTCTCTGGTAGAAATCTATTTTTACTTCAGTCATTTTACATAAAGGTCCTTTTTCAGGAAAGTATTCTACCAACAATGTTAAGATCTTCTTTAATGTCAAACAGTTATCTCCACCTCTAGTCAGGCAAGACTACATGATATCATTTACATATAATAGAATATCATTCTTCTTTCTTTCCTCCATTTGAACACTACATTCATCAAGACTTGCTCTTAGTGTAGCTTTTAAAATTAATCCTTTATAAATAATAGCATATCAGTTAAACTGTATTTCTGTGTGTGGTTATCTTCAACAAATTAAGCTGTTTTTGGAATGGTACCAATTGTAGCGGAAACTCTCAACTCATCTTTTGTTAGTATTCTCCATTCCCTGTGAAAGACATTGACTCATACCTCTAGCATTAAAACTAGGCTAATAGATCACTTGCTAGTACTTTTGACCACTCTTTTCCCACCTTTTGAGTTTGAAGCTTATCAGAAATCAATTGTGTGATGCCTGGGCCCTACCCCCAGAAGTTCTGATAAAATTGATCTATGGTATAAGCTCAACATGTGTGACTTAGAGAGTAAAGGTAATCAAGTGTGTTAAAAAAAAAAAACCTTTATTTGTCTCTGAGCGTATATATCCCAGCTATAATTTCTAATCAGATAATTTAATCTGCCCCTACATAGGTAGAATAAAATGAGTATGGCAAGTTTTGAAATATGAGAGTTTACATTTCTCTGAAAACTAAATTGCTTGCTTTGGAATTTTATTCAAAGCTATACTAAATGTATTATAGTTGGATTAGGTGTGCAAAATACAACTGTAAAATACATACAAAAAGTCTTAGCTCTACATTCACATTTTTTTACATGTCTTTAATAGTGCCATTTTAATAAACTAGAAACTATATCTTTTGCATTATGGAAACGGGTTATTCAAGACAAAGTCCACATTAATATTACTTAGCAAAACCTGAGTCAAAGAAAAGGTCTTAGGTCTACACTGTAAGATTTATATGTTTTAAGGTAGAATTAAGCATATTCACAGTGCCCTCTTCTGATCAATTATTATTATTTATTTATTGTTATTGAAGTACACTATGGTTTTACAACCTTGTTAGTGTTTTGACAGTACAGGATTTCCCCTTACAGGTGTAGTCACTGTAGTACTCCCACCACCAAAGCATCCACAGCCCTCTACTATTATACTCTACCCCCACTCTTTCCCTCCATCCTCTCATTCTCACTCCCTTCCTTCCCCCTCTGAAAGCTACAGATCAGTTCACCTTTCAAAGGCTGGTTTTAAAATATGTCTTTGACCCTTTGCTTGGTTTTTCTATATTCTATATATGTGACACCATATAAGTGGTATTTATTTATTTTCTCTTCCTGGCTTATTTTGCTTAGCCTAATCCCTTCCAGCTCTATCCATGTTAGTGCAAATGACGAGTTTATCTTTTTTGATTGCTAAGCAGCATTCCATTGTGTGTATATATTACATCTTGTTGATCAGTTATGTTGATATACTTACCATCTGTCAGTTTTCCATGTATTGTGTGTATATCGCAGACTCTTAAAGCTATAAATGTCCTTAGAGAGAAAAAACCTTGGGAAGTGATGTGACTTCCTGAATTTCACAACTAATGAAATGACTACTCTTTTACTTGAGTAATGGGCATATATTCCAGTCCAGTATTTCTTTACAGAAATACTTAATTGGGGCCTCCCCTGGTGGTGCAGGCGGTTGAGCGCTGCACTGTGAAGCTGTTTGCGGCCTCTGCAGCACCAGTTCGATCCCTGCCGGCTGGCGAGGGTGCCACATGGCACGGCAGACCTCTCCTGTCGTGCCCGCTGCTCCCCTCAGCAGTGTATTTTGTCATCTGCCTGTTCTGTTCCCCACTCTGTCTCTGGTGAATCCTCTCACCCTCCTGCGCATCTGGCCTGTGCCCTGGTTCTTGTATAAAATAAATAAATAAATCATAAAAAAATACTTAATTGATTTTGGTGTTCGGTGGTTTTGTTGTCATTGTTACTGATCATGAGCTGCAGACTGCTGAGAATTGATAAGTCAATGAAGCAGTCTCAATCGTAGTCCATATTTTTGGACCTTCTTGCCTGTTTTAGGCATTGGCATTAAATAAACTTAGGACTTGGAGAGGCAAAAAGAGCTATTTAGTATGTGTTCTTCAGAACTTTAAGAAATAAGCACCTGTTTTATTTACCGCATGTTGCCATTTTCCAACTACCTGTTAATGCTGTGACCTGGAGGAGGATTCAATAAATTAGTATGCATTGAGTTTTTATTTAGACACTGGGGATGCCACTGTGATCAAAATGAACACAGTAGAATTAAATAGACATGTCTCTGACTTCCTCAGATTTTTATCTCAGCAGTTGAATTTATATAGCAGTTGAATCATTTAACTACAGATTGCAAATGCTATACAAAGTAAAAAATTGATGGTGTAAGAAATATAAATGGAGAATCAAACCTAGTTTGAAGGAATAAGGCAGAGGGTGAGTATCAGTGAAGTTGCATGTGGAATTGACATCTTAGATGAACTCTAAAGTGTAAGTGGGAATTGCCAAATGAATGTTTGGGGAAAGAAGGGAAGTTTGTAGAGCATTGATAAGGTGTGCAAACTTGGTGGTAGGAATAGTCTATGCCTCCTACAGAGGCACTAAGATAAGAAGAGTAATATTTAAGTTTGAGAAATGGAAATTTTGCAGGTCCTTAGAAAAGAATGGAAGGAAGAAGATGAAACAGATAATGATGAGGACATAAACAAAGTCTTGGGTAGGCAGAATCTTAAAAGTATTTGTGCTTAGTCCTAAAATCAGTTGAACTGTTTAAGGGTTTTTAAAGCTTTTATTTTGTACTATCATATTTATATTTTTAAAAAGTTCTCTCTGACTGCTCTATGGAGAAAGGAATGGATGGGGAGACAAAAGTAGATGTGGGAGAACAATGAAAAGGCCAGGAATGGTGGTTGTAGAGATGGAAGATAAGGGCATACAAAATGTATGTTCAAAGAGGTATACATTTTGTAGATGGAACGTTTTTGCTTTTGTGCTTCAATTAAAACTGCATTGCTTATTTGCTTTCCTAGTTAACTTTAATTCTTACAGCCATTCCATCAAGATACCTAAGCATCAGGAGCCTACTACAAATTATGTATATAAGGGAGAGTTGAACATATCACCTATTCTTGTGACCAGAGTAAATAGTCTCATTTTTCAATTCAAGAAATTAAAGCTTATGAGTAATAACAGTAAAATGAAAGGTAGTTAAAAAATTCATTGTGTACTAATTCAGGTTTTTGCTGGACTAGGTATCTTATGGGGGAATATTCTAAATAAAGTGATAATGAAACTTAATTGTGGCCACAGTTTAAAAATAATTGATACTATAAACTCTAATACATCTATGTGAAGATCAATAAAAAGAGAGGTGGCTGTACATAAATGGAATGATTTTTAATAAACTTGTAGCACTATTCCATTTGTTACATATTGAGCATACACCATCATTTTAGAAAGTACATCGATGTCACCAGAATATTTTCACATTTTGTTAAGACAAATATTAGAAATCATTAGCAGATGTTTTCCTAATTTACAAATGGGATGCAGTGTATTACTGTTTTTTCTTAACATTCTAACTTAGCAAAGTTCTTTTGTGTTGAGATTTACAAAAGACTGTAAATGTATTCAGTGGAAATAAGTCAAGCAGAGGTGTAGAATACTATATTGCTGCTTTACCCACTTCCAACATATTTGTATATTGAAAGTAGAAATCTATATTTAAAATATAAAGTACTTTTTATATATTTGCATTACTTGTTAATTTTCATCTTCTGTTGAATTGAGATGGTTTTAAAATGTCTTCTGTAATTAGTGAGTTTTGACAGCTTCAATAAATTGTATAAATACCATTGTACCATGAAACAGAACAGATATGAGAAAGATTGTATATTGTTTTCTTCTCAATTTGTTAGACTGAACCTTTCCATAAGAGCAATGGCCTATATCAAGAAAATTCTGCTTTATAAAATTTTCAAATATAGTGATTATGTATGAATTTTTATGTGAAGATTTTTATAAGATGCTTACACAGACTAATTTTTGTTTTAAGGAAATTCTAGAGACTTCTAGGCTAAAATTGTTACTTTAAGTTTTATGCTACCTAGTTTAATATGTGCTTATAGACACAACTCCTATTCTAAATAATCCTTGAGTTCAGGATACCTTTTTTATGTTAATTTTCTTTTTGCATGTACTTATAGTTTACTTGTTCCATACATGTGTATAGCAAAACCATAGTTGTGCATTAAAAATTAATATATCTGTATCAATAGCATGTGTTTTTATTTTGAAAACAGCCATCTGTTTTATTGCTCAGTATCATCACTACCCTTAAAAGTTTTTTCTCAAAAAGTGACAGCAATCAAGTCATCTTCTTCACCAGCTTCTTCATTATATCTGTGTGGGTAATTAGCATAATGAATTATATAGTGTACTTTTTTCTAGTTATCCTGTTGCCTAACTTCTTTTATCTACTTGATATTCCTGAAAGGCTGAATTAATTTTAGTGCTAATGTAAGGAAAATAACATTGAAAAATGTTTAAAATTTTTAACCCAAGGATTGGTATAAATTGTTTTTGACTTATCTGTTGTATTTTCTATTTCACTGGTGTACTATGCTAGCTATGTTTCTTGAGGTCTGTTGCTGTTGAGATAGAGTACTAGGTGTGTTAATAAAATTAGCAAGAACCTTTTTCAGGGGTAAATATGACATTTTACAGAATTGTTTTGACTGTAGTTATTTTAAATGGTTACATTTTTAATTGCTAGTATACATAAATAGAAAGCAGTCAGACTCATGCAGAGGTATTTGGTTCAGAACTTGGAAAATTGAAATGAAACCCAAGAAATGTCTCCAATGTTCTTCTAAAAGCAAGCAAAAAAATTCTTAGTTCCCAATATCATCTTATGTCTGGGATAAGAAATTGTGTGATATACCTGTTAGAAGACTCATTTCATATTTCACTGGAATAAAATTATTTTATTTTCAGCACTTAGATTCCACTTTTAAGTGTTAGACATAAAATATACTTCAAATAATAGTGCTTAAAGACTTAGGTAGATTTGCTATGTGTTGGGTCATGCAAAAGAAAGGGATGGGATAGTAATTAGATGAAAATGAGTTAGTATAAATTCATTCTATATGATAATCATGTTGTCTTTCAGTAGTCATTAAAGTGAATTATATTTTTTGATTTTAAAAAAGCATTTATATAATGCTTTACAAAATATGTTTTTTATAAGGTCAAAAGAAATAGACTGGCAACCTTATTTTACTACACGCATTGTAGATGATTTTGGCACACACCTACGAGTATTCAGAAAGGCTCAACAGAAGATAACAGAGAAAGATGACCAAGTTAAAGGTAATGTCTTCATTCCATTTGAAAATGAGAATTTTAAAATCTGTTTTTCTTTATCCTGTTTATCTTGAATGATTCCTTTCTTTGCTCAGGTACAGCAGAAGATCTTGTAGATACGTTCTTTGAAGTTGAAGTTGAAATGGAAAAGGACGTTTGCCGTGATCTAGTGTGCACTTCCCCCAAAGATGAAGAAGGTTTTCTTTGCACTTTAACACTTTTGACAGCATTAACAGTTCAAATTAGCTAAAAACAAGTTAGTAGAATCAGTGAAGACATATAAAGGTGTAGTTGTTTTTGTAGGGCAGGTAGTAAAGATACTGTTTGTAACTGATTTTATTCTTTAACTCTTAAAGGTAATTTCCAAATTCTTTTTTCTGTTTTAAAGGTCTTTAAAATTTAAAGATGGTAGTTAAAATTACATCTCTTGTCTTCTTTTAAATTATATAGTAAGTTCTAACATTTTATAATTGTAAATTTACTTTTTGATATGTAGTAATTCATCCTCTTGAATTTATTATTTCTACTTCAAGAAATATGTTACCTTAAAATATTTTCTAAGGGAATGATTATAATAATTTCAAATAAAATGTGTGGATTTGAAGACTTGTCTTTTCTTTGTGGGAGATTAAACCAGATAAGTTTTAGCTGAGGATGTTTTCTTATCCTATTTTTCAACTACTAAGAGTCTTTGCGACTTGGCACATTTTTTGATTAACAGGATCAGCTATATAATTATATTCCCAGGAAGTGTCAGCTAGGAACTACAGAAAAGCATTTCTAGCTTTCAAAATTGACTTCCTAGATTTTTTTAAATGTACTCAACTTTTATTTCTTTCTTTCATTCCCTCTTATTCCCTTCTTTACTTTTTATATTTATTGTGCAGTTCAATTTTTAATGCTCTTTCAGTATTAATTAAAGATAAGAGATAGGAATGATGATGTTCAGTAGCTCTGTGTAATTGAGCCCTGTTAAATGAATACAATAGAAGAGAATTTCTTTCTTTTGTTATTAACAGCCAAGATAGTAGAAGTTCTTTCTTGAAAGAAAAATTGCAGGTATATTTTTAAACATGCAAATAACTTTTATGTATGCAAAGAATGTGTGGTGTAAGTGCAGAATATGTGGGATAAATTAAAACTATTTGGGAGTAAATAGTACATTTAACTGAAATTTCAATGATTCAAAAAGTATGGTAAAATTGAGCAGAATTTAAAAAAATATTATTTTGCTTAATCATTACTATTTAAGCAACATGGAAAGAATTTTTGAGAACTAGGTATGTGCTAATTAATTATTAAAATAATAAGCCAGCACAATGAGAAAATTGCATATTTCAACTTTTATTTATATATGTTATCTCATGAGTAGGTAAAGATGTCATATTTTCAGTGTTATTATAACTACTTTTCTTATTTCTAGGATTTCTAAGGGATTTGTGTGAGGTCTTACTATATTTATTGCTACCTCCTGGAGATTTCCAGAACAAGATCATGAGATACTTTGTCAGGGTAAGCTTAAACTTTTCAAAAATAAGTCACACTGTAAAGAGATTGAGAGCATTAATTTAAAAATTTCTGGTCTTTGGACTCTATTATACTCTTAAAAATTACTGAGAACCACCAAGGAACTTTATATGGGTTTTACCTATCAATGTTTACCATATATTTATATATTATAAATTTATTATGTATTAAAAAAGAAAATTAGAAAGTTGAAAATACAAGAATGTATACAAGTCCACATTTCATTAGCTGATTGATGGTATATTCCACCCTGGCTTTTCGTTTTGAAAATACTGCTATATGCTCATGAATAAATGAGAGTGAAAGGGTAATAGTCTCAGTATTATGCTGATTATGGCTTTGATACAAACCCTCTGAAAAGGTATTGGGGAATATTAAAATATTAATATTAAAATATTGAAAATATTTCCCTACTCTCAGAGGTCCCTAAAATCCATTGAGATCTCTTTTATTTAGAGTTAGACATTTGGATTTTTTGGTTATAATACCAGGTATGTTTTAATTTTCTTTAATTTTGTCTTTAAATTACCTAAATTTGACTAAGTAAGACTTCTGTACAGAAACTTATAAAAAACTGAGCAGCTAAGATTCTACTTCTTGTTATTAGAAAATGAGTAAGTCATAGAAGAACAGTGGTTTTGCATTTTTTACTTACAGGTTATAAACTTTTGCTCTATAACTACATTCTAATGTAAAGGAATATGATTTTGGCTGTGATTGTGAAATGAATGTTAGCTATATTAGATCTTACCCTACTTGAATAGGTGAGGTGAAATTTTCTAGTTTTTGTAAAAATGAAAGTTTGTCATCTATTTAATCCTGCAACACAGATACCCATTCCTGAGGTTTGCTTTAATGCATGTGTGTTATTATTTAAGAAATAATTTCCCAATTTCCCAATTCCTACCTAACTCAAGTTCAGTTTATATGCTTCTTAAATGGGTATTAGTAATTTGAAGTGAGGGCAAAATGCAAAATTATCAAGGGTGGTAAATACCTGGCATGTCTTTATCACTGGATTTATATCTACCACTTGAAGAAAGATATTGCTAGTTTCAGTATCTCTTTGTCATCAGAATCTTTGTCTAGTTGGTAGTTCAGACAAGTGTATGAGCAGCATTTCATATGCTTAGCTCTTTTCTTTCTTGAAAAGCTGTCTTTCTTAAGTTCTTTATCATTGCTCCCGTTTGACTTCATATCCTTTGGTCTCCTTATCTTGTATTTACCTCTTAAATATCCAAGTTCTTCTATCTTGGACCTGCTTCTTGCTCATCTGTTCCTATGATTTTAAACTCCACCTAAATGCTGATGACTTCCAAATTTGTATCTTTAGTTCAGACTTCCCTTTTGACATCCAGGTCACTGACCAGCTGCCCATTGGAATTATCATTTGGTTGGCTCACTGTCCTTTTAAACTTTATATGTCCAGTATAGAAATATTAACTTGCTTATATAACCTGTTTTTTTACATTCCAATAAATGATATGACCACTTAGCAATTTTTCAAATGAGTTTTTCCAGAGGTTTACAAGGCCATGCACAATGTTGCTTTGTTTATCTCTCTGGCCTTCATGCCATGCACTCACTATAATTTAAACCATACTGCCTTCTTCTCCAACAAGGCCATATTCTCAATTTGACAGGATTATTTCATATTCTTTTTTTCCTGTGCTCAAATAATTGCCCTTATTCACTTGGCTAAATTGTATTCTTCCCTCATATTTCATAGACATAGAGATGCTTCCCATAGGCCATATAATCTAAATATCCTTCATAATTCCCTATTTCTGTTGAAGCACCCATTTGTTTTCTGTCATAGCACTTACTATATTTTAAAATCAAAATTTGCTTGCTGTGTTTATTTGTTTGATGACTTTTTTTGCACTAATAGAGCTGTTAAATCCTATAAGGGTAGGGGCTATATCTGTGTCATCATTATGTACCTAGTGATTATCATAGTACCAGGCACATAGCCAATATCAAATCAGAGAAGCAGTTTTAATGCAAGAGGAAATCTGTTTGCCTTCTTGCTGTCTTTGGTGCACATGCTACTGCAGCTTTGAGGATTAAGCTGATTTATATTCTAGCTTAAAATAAGTAGAATTATAAAACAATGAATTTGTTTTGCTATAGATTATCTGAAGATCGCTATATATTTTTTTTGAAGGGGGGTTGGATCTAATCAGAGAATACTGCATTAGCAAATCAGTTTTTTTTCCTCTCTCTTAACTTGATTTTTTTAAATTTCAATTTTCTTTTGTTGGAAATTAAATTCAGGTTTTTCCAAAAGATATTTTTGTTCAGATTAAATAAAAGATTAAAGAGTTCTTTCCTATATATATGAATCCTTAGTATTAAATTGTACAAATCACAGTATTTGATTAAGATAATTGCTATCTTATTGCCTTATATGGAAAAAACATTTATTTAAAAGTTCTTGGCCAGAGTGACTTTTTAAGTTTAGGCCTTCATATATGACAGTTGGTGCTTGTATTAAAAAATAGAAATTCTATGAAAATGGTTACTTACTTTGGAATATTTAGAGCTCTCATTAGAACCAGTTTAGAAATTGAGTTTATGATTACAACCAAAATTTCAGAACAATTTTTTGTAAACTTTTTTGTTCCGAAGAAGTACATTTTCAAATTTGAACATATGGAGCCAGAGACATAATTTGAATGAAGGAATTATATAAATAATTGCTAAGAAGTTATAGACTAAACTAATCTTGAAAGAATAAACAATGCCTTCTAATTTAAGACTAAAATGTTTTAAAAGATATTTCAGAACAGCTAGTGGAACCTCTATTAGTACCTTTTGGAAATACTAATTTACCATATGGTAACAATTGTCAGAGATTTATACAGCTTACAAAAGTAGAATTTATATAAAATATTTTTCTAAATGAAAATAAAATGAAAGCTACCTTCTATGAATACCAAAAATGGTCCAGGTAAATCAGACTTCCAGAAAGAAGAAATAAATCAATTGATTCTTAATTGGAGTATTGATTCTGTAGTCAGTCCTTGAAGGAATGTTTGAAAAATAATACATAGCATGTACAGCTGCAAAGAATTGAAAGGTGTATTGTAGGGAATGGGGTGTAATTATATTAACATTTATAATTTATTTTCTATTAGGATAGTTTTAAAATAGAGCCAGTATAAAGAATGATAAAATAGACATTTATGTATGAACATAAATTTTAACCAATGTTAATATTTTAACCAATGTTAATATTTTACTGTAGTTGCTGTGTTCCTTTCTTGGAAGGCAACCACTCTTTCAGTTGCTGTGTACTTTTCCCCTTACTTTTTGTTTTTATGCTTTTAATATAGACATGAAATCATAAACACATATAGTGCCATGTTTTACCTTTAAAAATTGATACGGATGCTAACATGCTGTAGGTATCATTTTGCTTATCTTTCACTCATCTCTAGTTTTTATAAGATTTAAAAGATTTTGTTACCAGGTTTTACTTCTGTGTGAACCATATATTTCTTAATATCTTTGTATTAGGAAATTTATATTAACTTATTGACTTGAGAAATATATGAGGTTAAATTTGTTTTTGTATTTTAAAATTTTTATTCAGGAAATTCTTGCACGAGGAATTCTTCTTCCATTAATAAATCAACTCAGTGATCCTGATTATATTAATCAATATATCATATGGATGGTAAGTGCTTACTGAAATAACTGTTTTAAAATGTAAAAATATGGTTAAATGATTAGGATGATTAAGCAACAATTTGTTAATTAAGTATATATCTGAAGATAATGTTTATATTTTCAATATTTGTTTGCTAATACATTGAAGTATTAGCTATTTTTTTAAAGGAGTGTATTGATAAGATAATCTTCCTCACAATTTTTGTGCTGTTACTACTTATTTAAATGGAAAGATATATTTTACTGCCTGTGGTATAGGTAATTTTTTTTTAAGATTTATTTTTATTTATGCATACAAGAATTGGGGTGTATGCCACAGGTGCTCACCAGAGACAGAGTGGGGAGCAGAACAGGCAGATCTACTGAAATATACTGCTGAGGGGGAGCAGTGGGCAAGACAGGGCAGGTCTGCTACACCATGTGGGTTAGCTCCCTGGCCCAGGATCAAACTCTTGCCATAGTGGCTGGTGATAGCTTGATTGTGCTGAGACTTTAACCCCTGCACCACCAGGGAGTTCCTAGGTAATATTTTTTTTAAAGCTGCTATTTGGTTTTAAATACAGCTTATGATCTGAACTACTTAATGTTATGTACTTTAGATTTTGTTGTATATAGTGGAGGAACATGGGGAGGAAAGAACAGTTGACTAAGAATTGGAAAATCTGTATTCTAAATGTTTTTGTAAATTCCTTAGTTTGTCGTTAAGCAGATAACTTTGAGTTTTCTCATCTTTTCCACATTATCAAATAGTGATTATTGAGTTTACTAGCTCTGTATTCTGATTTTATGTATTTCTTTAAAAAAAAAAATATTTATTTATTTATTTATTTATACTAGAAGCACTGGGTACAGTCAGAGGCACGGGAGGGTGAGAGAATTCACTGGAGCCAGAGCGGAGAGTAGAACAGGCAGAGTGACGAAGTACACTGCTGAGGGGAGCAGCGGGCGGCAGGAGAGGTCTGCGCGCTGTGTGGGACTCTCGCCCAGCGGCCGGGGATCGAACCGGCGCTGCAGAGGTTGCAGGCAGCTTCACAACCCAGCGCTCAACTGCTGCGCCACTGGGGAGGCCCTATATATTTCTTATTATAATTGCTTTTTCAATAAATTCATGGTCAAGAAAGAGTTGCAAATAGGGCATTGATGGAATACAGTGATGTATACTTTTAGATCACTGATTCATTTTCTAAAGCATGGGATTTCTTCTCTCTGGTTGCCTTCTATTAACTCAGTCCATTTTCCTAGGAAAAGTACTTGATCTTTGTTCTCCCATAACCATTCTCAGACTTGTCATTGTTTTATTGTAGTTGTTATAATTTCTGCCAGATTGTGGCTACTGCAGGCAGAAATTATTTTACTAATTTTGTATTTCTAGAGCCTTCCATGGAGGTCACTGAATTTAATTTTTCTTTTATCAATTTTTTTAGACTTATTTGGTTCTATTGAGAGCTTAAAGGTAAAAGCAAGATAAAGTGATAAAAGTATGCATATCCTCATAATTGAAATTAAAAACAACATATCCTTTTGTTAGGTATTCTACTCCTGAAATTTATACTAAAATAATAATGAACAAGTTTACCTCATATCATATTTAAGTCTGTTATTGACAACATTGACTTATATTGGTAAAAAACTAAAACTAATTTGTGTTCCATGTAGAATATTGGTTTAAAATATTATAGAATATTTATGACAGAATAGAATGCAGTCATTAAAAATAGCAGTTGTAGTACATCTTTAAAAAAAATTTTTAACATTTTTTCCCCACTACCTTATCCTTGCTCTATAACTTCAGAGCATTCATATTACTTATTGATATCCTCTGGTTTTTGAAAGTGTTTTACATTATGAAGTCATCTGCTTTGTAAATGTCCAGTATTTTATGTTACTGTTAACTTGTTTTGCTATACATAATTCTCTCAAATTCCCTCAATTTTGTTGAAAATAGCTGCATTTCATCCTTTCTTAATGGCTTTATAGTACTCGGTGGCAGGAATGTACTATATTATCTTGATCCAGTTGTCTGTCAGTGGACATTTAGGCTGCTTCCATGTCCTAGCTATTATAAATATAAGATGATCATTATGGAATATTCAAGTTTTTATGTTAATGACTTCATATTGTTTGCATATATGCCCAAGAGTGGGATTGCTGAGTCTTTTTGATTATATTAATCTCCCCATCCATGAGCATTGGATAGCCTTGCATCTTGCTATGTTTCTATCTAATTCTTTGAGTAACACTTTGTACCTCACACTCTATAGTTCTTTTGCCTCCTTAAGTAGATATAGAGGCATTAAATTCTTTTTGAGTCAATCGTAAATGTAGTTATTTTCCTAGTTTCTTTTACCTCTTATTCTTTGTATATTAAAAGACTATGGATTTTGTATGTAGATTTTTTTTATGACCTGACACTTTGTTATATTCATCTGTTGTTTCTAGTAACTTCTTTTTTTTTTTTTTTAAGATTTATTTATTTATTTATACAAGAGCTGGGGTACAGGCCAGATGCGCGGGAGGGTGAGAGGAGTCACCAGAGACAGAGCCGGGAACAGAACAGGCAGACTGACAAAATACACTGCTGAGGGGAGCAGCAGGCGAGACAGGAGATGTCTGCCGCGCCATGTGGAACCCTCTCCGGCCAGTCGGGATCGAACCGGTGCTCCAGAGGCTGCAGACAGCTTCACAGCGCTGCGCCCAACCCGCTGCACCACCAGAGGAGGCCCTGTTTCTAGTAACTTCTTGATGGAGTCTTTAGCCTTCTCTATGTTGTATATTACTTGCAAATAGTGATAGTTTCACTCTTCTCTTTCTGAATTGTATATCCTTTATTGCCTGTTATTGTCTGATAGCTCTGGCCAAAACTAACCCCTTTTACTAAGTTAAACAGAAGACGTGACATTGGGCATCCTTGTCTTGTTCCTGAGCCTAGAAAAAGCTTTCAGTTATTTGCCATTAAATATCATGTTCACAATTGGTTTGTGATATATGGCCTTTTATATATTAGGGTAGGTTCCTTCTTTTCCTCTCTTGTTTAGAGCTTTTATCATAAATGGGTGCTGAATCTTATCAAGTGCTTTCTCTCTACCTATTTATATTATAATGTGATTTTTAGGTTTGTTTTTGTTTATATTATGTGTTACATTGATTGATTTACATATATTAGATTTTCCCTGCATCCCTGGTATAAATCCCATGTGATCATGGTATATCAACCTTGTGGTATACTGTTGAATTTGATTTGCTAATATTTTGTTGAGGGTTTTTGCATAGATTGCATTATTCAGGTATATTGGTCTATAATTTTCTTGTGTTTCGTTTGTCTGGTTTCCGTATTAGGGTAATGTTTGCATTGTAAAATGTATTATGGTAGATTCCTTCTTGTATTTTTAAGAGCATTTTGAGAAAGATGGACATTAGTTCTTTGAAAGTTTGCCAAAATTCATATTTAAGTCATCTCATCAGTCTTTTGAGAAGAATTTTTCTTTTTATTGCTGTTTCAATTACATGTTTGTGCTTGGTTCAGCTCATCTGTTACTTGTAGATTAGTAGTCTTAGTGATTATATCTAGAAATTTGTCCATTTTTTAAAGATTATAAAATTTATTGCATATAGTTGGTCATAGTAATCTAGTAAGAACCTTTGGATTCTTTGGATTTCTGTGCTTTCTCTTTTGTTTGTGACTGTTTATTATGTTCTTTTTTCATTTCTCTTTTTGTTAGTGTAGTTAAAAGCTTATATTTTTTGTTAATCTTGAAGAACCAGCTTTTTTTTTTGTAATTACCCTTTTGTACTATATTTACTTATTTCTGCTCTCACACTTATTGCTTGCTTTTATCTTTTGGTCTTTTTGTTCCTCTTTTTCAAGTTGCTTTAGGTGTGATATTTTAATTGGTATTTTTCTTGTTTCTTAATATGAACCTGCATTGCAATTGTCTTCCCTCTTAATACTGCTTTTGCTGCATTTCATAGTTTCTCATACCTTGTATCATCATTTTTATCTCAAATTGTTTCTGGATTTCCTTTTCGATTTCTTCTTTTACCCAAGATCTATTGTTTAGTTTCTGTGTATTCATCTTCTCTTTTTAAATTTTCTTATTCTCAGTTTCTGATTTTATGGCATTATGATCAGAGAGAATATTTGGGTATAATTTAAATCTGGTTTTATTGACAGTTGACTTGTGTCCCAAGATATGATCTATTCTCGAAAATGTTCCATGTACATTTGAAAAAAAGTTACATGCAATGGGTTTTGGGTGGAATGCTCTGTAAATATTTGTTAGTTTTATTTAGTCTAGCTCCTCATTTAAGGCTGTTGTTTATTTATTCTTTTTCCTATTAATCAGTCCATTGTTGTGAGTTTTTACAGTCTCCTAATATTAGGGTGTTGTTATCAATGTCTTTTTTTAGTTCTCGTATTAATTATTGTGTGTTTGTGCTTCATCATTCAGTGCATAGATATTTATGAGTGTTATTTTTTATTATTCTATTAGACATATAATCCTAATATAGTGTCTGTCTTTTATTACTATTTTTAATCTGAAGTCTATTTTCCCACATTAGTTTAGCTCCCCCAGATTATTTTCGGTTGCCTTTGCATTTATAATTTCTACCAGCCTATAACTCTTAAGTGTGTGCTTATCTTTGTAAGGTGATTTCTTGTAAACAACAGAAGGTTGGTCTTTGTTTTGAAATCCATTCAATCATTCTACATTTTAACTTGTGAATTCTTTCCATTTATGTTTAAAGAGACTGTTGAGACATAAAGTGCTCACTGCTGTTTTGTTATGTTTTGCTATTTAGGTCTTTTTGTTTTTCAATGAAAGGAACTGATCACTGTTGTACTTTGTAGTAAACTTTCAGAAAATATGAAGAATATATTAATAAAGGATTTTAGCCTGCTTTGCTCTCTAGCTTATACTCTGACACTATATCAGGAGTCATTTATACATAGGTATTATAAAATTCAAATGAGCTTTATTTTAGTTTTTTAACTCATAAATTATTGTGTTAATGATACCTTACCATGTAGTTTATTTTTATTTGAGAGGAAAGGTTTAGGGCACTGTAATATAATTCACTATAATAGTGAATTTATATTAGCTCTTAACAAAGTATTTGTGAAACCCAACAACAATTTTAGATTTTTAAGTAATTTCTAAATAGTAGTACAGACAAATTTGCATTATTATTCTCTAAATATGTATGTCATTTCTTTTAAAGACAATGTCAAGTCTTATTTTTGACTGTGGCATATATCACCTATTATGTTCATTTTGTTACCTCCAATTGGAGCAGACACTTGAACAGCTCTTTACTTTTTTCTTCATGCATTCTTAGTAAATCTTGTCTTTAATAACTTCTTTTTGTTTTATAATTGTAGTTAAATTTATATAAAATGGAAGAAATACCCAGTATTCCAAACTTGTGCTATAATTCTTGTTTACTAGAACTGTTTGAGAGGTCTGGTCTGTCTTTTTTGTTGTGGTTAATCTGTATATCTGTGATGACTAATGCTATTGAGTCAATGCATATGCTTATTGGCCAGTTTTTTTCACAGTTCTGGCTGGACATATACAAACTCCAGTTCTTTGACTCCTTATTAAGAATGAATAATATCTTGACCTTTTCACAGTTCCCCTTAATGTTTGATTTAGCTTAAATTTAACTGACATAGTGATTAGTGTTTTTTTATTAGCATTCTCAACTACCTATTTGCTCTCATCTTGCTTGGTAAAACCATATCTTGATTATATACACCTAACTTTCTACTTCATTTCATTTCTTACACAGCAAAGTAACTAGAAAAAGACAAAATAATAGTTACTTCTATCATCACAATGATTCTGTTAAATTTAAGACAGAGAATGCTGCTCTGTTTAAAACTCTCCAGTTTATATTCCATTCAGTGTGAAAACCACATTTGCTATACCTTACACAGTCATCCTCTATTACCAATGATCTTGTTTTCTGTTCCTCTGCTTGCTTTTCTATTCCTCAGCCAACATGGCTTCCTTGCTATCATCAGACATCCTGAGCATACTTTCTGTGCAAGCTAGCATGCTATAATTTTGCTTACTTTGTTTACAATCTATGGCTTATTAGAATTTAAGTGCAACGAGTATAGTTATTTTCATTTTGTATTGTGTTATAAACACTGGGGGGAAATGTCAGTTTACCAGGCACATGGATGGCTCTCAAGATTGTGCTTTCCCCTTAATAGATGAACACCCCTCCCACCTGCTTTTTTAAACTTCATTTTCAGATCCGTGAATCTAATTGCAACTATGAGGCCTTTATGAACATTATTAAATTGAGTGACAATATTGGAGAGCTAGAAGCAGTTAGAGATAAGGCAGCAGAAGAATTACAGTATCTTCGATCTCTTGATACAGCTGGTGATGGTAAGTAACTTAACTGAAAATATTTTACATCTTTAGTTATAACTATGTTTTCAAACAAAACATTAATTTACCCAACTGTGAGTTTATGCTATTAGTTGCTTCCCCACCTTTGCTGAATCTAAATCTGTTAGCATGTACTAAGAATAAAGCATTATAATTTTCTGAACTTGAGATTATTAACTATTATTTATAGTGCCCTATCTTGTAATTGTCATGATTTGATTTTAAATAGGTTTGCTAAAATTTCAAATTTTCTTTTATTAAATAATTGTATATTCATTGGTTTTCATGGTAAATCACTGTGTGAGTTTGAGGTATTTTATAGATAGTATTACTGCTTTGTATTTAGACAATAATCATGTTTGTTTTTAGATATCAACACTATTAAGAATCAAATAAACAGCTTATTATTTGTAAAGAAAGTATGTGATTCAAGGATACAGCGGTTGCAGTCAGGCAAAGTAAGTAAAATACTTTTTGAATTAATGTTTATGTTATGTTAATATTAAAATATATTAATTGAAATGGTTAGCAAATAACTAAAAGAAGGATATTAATTAGTATAGCACTCTTCAAAAGAACTTTTAGAGAAAATTTCCCTGTATACAATGTGTGACCATTATTTGTTTAACTAACCTAAGGAAATTAAGTATTGCCTGAAAAATACAAAAGTGATTAATTAAAAGCTTTGCTTTATTTCTTGATTTATTCTTCTACTTATTATTTATTAATAATTCAATATCTGTTGAATTTTGTGCATTGGGCACCATTGTAGATGAACCTAATAGACAAAATTTTTGATGTAGTTTACATTTTACAGAGTCAGAAAATAAATCAAAAGGTAAATTGATGTGTAACGTCCAAAAACATAGAAAAAAAAAATGTAAAGAACATTAAAAGTAAATTAGATAGATATTGTCTAGGAGTGTTTTAGGGATAGGTGTTGAGATATTTGGTGATGTTTAAACATATGTCTAAATAATGTGGAGAAGTCTTAGGGATATCTTTTTAAGAATCAGTCAAGGTGGGAGCAAATTTAAAGGCTCTGCAATAGAAAAAGTACTGAATGAGTTAGTGGTCAGTGTGACTGGTGTGGAATGAATGAGAAGAATTATAGTGGGAATGCGATGGAAGAGAATTCTCAGAGGTTAGATACATGCCATAATAAGATAGTTTTAAATTCTGATTGTGACGGGAATCTACTGGAGATTTAAAGTGATTACTTTGGCTCTTTATGATAAATTATGGCAGAGTGATGGTGAAAGAATGGAAACTAAAAGATTGTTTATAAGGCTGCTGTTTTAGTCCAGTAAGAAATGCTTGTGGAGGTTGTGAAAAGTAATTAGAGAGGGGATGTAATGCTAACAAGATTTGTAAATGGATTAAATATAGGGGGAGAAAGAAAAAAAGGACTCAAGGTTAATTCCTGAGTTTTTTGGCCTGAGTAACTGTAAATAGTGTTGCTATTTATTCACAGGTTTGAAACTGAGGCAGGAGGAGGCTTGGAAGAGAGAATCAAGTACTGGATGTTCTAAATTGAGATTTTTGTTCAGCATTCAAGTAGACGGGCTTATTTGTAAATTCAAGTTCAAAGCAAAAGTTTAGTAATGGAGATAAACTTTGAGAATCCTTAGGATTATCAGATGTTTATTTAAGTTAAGAGACTGGATTAGGTTGTCTAAAAGAGTGTTAGTAAGAAGATACCAAGGATTCAGTCTTGAGACATACGAGTACTAGAGTTTAAGGTGAGCTGGAAGAGCTAACCAAAGAAACAATAAATAACTAGCGAGATTGAAAAAAATCCTAGGAGTGTGATAATCCTAAAAGCCAAGTATAGAAAGGATTTAAAGAAGAAATAGTAGATCAGATATGGCAAAGACTACCAATAAACGGAAGATTTAGAATTGACTATTGGGATTGCCAGTATGGGCATTATTGATAATCTGATGACAGCATTATGGTGGAGTAGTAGAGAGAAAATCTGATTCAGGTCAGTACAGGAGAAAATGGGAAGAGATGAATTAGAAATAGTAACTTATTTTACATTGAAAATTGTAATTTGCTATTTATATATCTAAAAAGAACTTTATTTTCTATAGTTATTGTGGAGTTTTTAGTTTGTTAAGTAAAAAATTAATCTTTGGTAATATTTTCTGTTTACCCAGTATGTCGACTTCAATCTATGCCTGAGAATATTGAAATTTCCTTATTTTTGAGTGATCGTAGCAGTAGCACTTTTGCCCTTTATGTCTTAAAATATTTACTTCTGTTTCAAGGATGCAGAGGCAGAAACTACTTGAAAATACAGCTATTTATATTTGTTTTGTTTTGAAATAAATGATGAGCATTTTTCATACATTTAATGTATATTTACTGAACAACTCTAAGAGATCTCCAGGAAATTAACTGAAGCCAAATGGTTTTATTTTGTGTCCACATATGTCATCAGAAGGGAAGAAAGTTTTACTTTTGTTTCATTGTAATTTAATTTTTATATTTGTTTAAAAATATTTAACCTAATGAGTGAATAGATGAAAAATTAACCTACATTCACTATTATTTGTAGGAAATAAATACTGTGAAACTGGCAGCAAATTTTGGGAAACTTTGCATAGTCCCCCTGGAAAGCATTCTTGTAGACAATGTTGCACTACAATTTTTTATGGGTAGGTAAATATATTTCATGAAGTTATATAGCTCTTGAAAATTTTAATAGTTGTATTTTTAAATTTTAAATAATTCATATTTAGCATGCCAAATATATTTCTCCCCTACCCTCTTTCTCTGAAATGTTCTTTTTTTCTTTGGAAACCTTAGAAGGTAAAGATTTGGGGCGGGAGGGGAGGTGGGTAGGAAAATGTGCTTGTTACAACTCTAAAGTGCATTTGCCAAATGGGCTTTAAAATAAAACCTAGGGTGAATCTACTATGAATTTAAATTATTGAAAAAGTACTTTTTAAGAAATACATGGTATATATAATTCATATGTAGCATGCCAGATATATTTGTTTATATCTTTATTTTGCATAAATGGGGAAGGGACTTTTTTAATGCTATTTTGAACATATATAATCATTTAATACACATTCATATTATAGCAACATTACTTTTTTCTGGGGGACATTTTCAGCAAAACTCCTGATTATTCATTTTCATGATCAAAAATATAAATGCTTGTTGAGGACTCAGTGCCTTATTTTTAATACTTACAGAAATATTAATTTTACAGTTAATCTTTACTGAGAGCAGAAGCTGCGTATTGGTGAAGTAATTTATTTCTTGTGAAGTAGTTTTATTCCCTAGATATTTTATCATGAAAAATTAGATTTAAAAAAAAAAGTGCTGCCATTTGCATTTCCTATATAATTGGTCTTTTTAGCTTAACCAGTTTATAACTATTTTGTCACTTCAGTCATTTGCTTAATATCTTCAATGTGTAAAGTTTTAAGCATTTGAAACTTTCTTTCTAACCTATTTGTCATATAGCTACATGTATCCCAAAATATATGGCATTAATATCTGTGTTGTTGTACATTTTATTTGGTAGATTACATGCAGCAAACTGGAGGTCAAGCACATCTTTTTTTCTGGATGACAGTGGAAGGATACCGGGTTACAGCCCAACAGCAGCTAGAGGTTTTATTAAGTCGTCAGAAAGATGGAAAATATCAAACCAACCAAACCAAAGGTCTTTTAAGAGCAGCTGCTGTTGGAATTTATGAACAGTATTTGTCAGAAAAGGTGAGTATACTTTTCGATTACTGTTTTGTTACCTTCTTTGATAGTATTGGCAATAATAATTTTTGTAAAACTTATTATAGCCATTACTCATGCTAAGTGCAAAACATTTTACCTCACATTGTCTTTTTTAACATAGCATTTCTATTTTGTGTTATTGTACTCATTTTATAGGTGAAGAAACTGACTTTTAGAAAATTGAGTTAACTGACCAACATCATGCAAACATTTCTCTCTAGAACCTTGAGAACCAAAAATTCAAAAGTTGACATACTAAAGATGACCATATTCTAGACTTTTTAGAATTTTTACTTTAAATAATTTTTCACATTAAACATCAGTTTTATTTTTGCATAATATCTGTTACATTATATACCTTGAAATGAAAGTTTTGGAAACAAATTAGCTTTTCCTATTTCCTTCCCATCTCATACTGGAACTTCACTGCATTATTAAATCAAATTTTAGACAAGGGTCCTTTTTTTTTAAAGATTTATTTATTTATGCATACAAGAACTGGGGTACAGGCCAGAGGTATGGGGGGTGAGACGTTTCACCAGAGACAGAGTGGGGAACAGAACAGGCAGACTGACTGAAATACACTGCTGAGGGAAGCAGCAGGGGTGAGTCAGGAGAGGTCTGCTGTGCCATGTGGGTATCTCCCTGGCCTGGGATCAAACTTTTGCTGCAGTGGCTGTGGACAGATTCATAGATTTTTGTCCTAACCCCTTGCACCACCAGGGAGGCCCAAGGGAGGGGGGTGTCCTTCTTTTAAAGGCCACTAAAAAGGATTGTTTCTAGTGTTAAATAAGTAATAAATGGCTTATTCTTTAGCAATTATATTGAATATCCATCTGGTACTACTTTTCTGTGTGCTGGACACTGATTGTATGTCTTACATAGATCTCTTTTAATCCTTACGTAATATTATTTCCAAAGGTAACTTTTTCAGCAAAAGTCAGAATTTTAAGTTCTAGTTTGTTTACAATGTGCTAAATAGTACATGATGGTGAGAAAGTTTTAGCTCTTATTTTAGCCTTCTTAAACATTAAGTTACCATTTTACAAACCAAGGACTTTCTGCCATTTATTTTTAATACTCTGATTTTATTGTTTAAATTTCTTGCTCACTAGGAGATTCTGAAAATAATCAAACTTATTTTTTCTGCATTTTTAGGCATCTCCAAGAGTCACTGTTGATGATTATTTGGTAGCAAAATTAGCAGATACTTTGAATCATGAAGATCCAACCCCTGAAATCTTTGATGACATTCAAAGGAAGGTACTTTATACAGCATTTATCATTATCTCTTGAAAAAAATGTATTTCTATGTATATGTGATTGGATTTTTTAAAAGATTTATTTCTTTATGCATACAAGAAATGGGGTATAGGCCAGAGGTGTGGGGGGGATGAGAGGATTCACCAGAGACAGAACATGTGGATTGACTGAAATACACTGTTGAGGGGAGCAGCAAGCAAGTCAGGAGATGTCTGCTGCACCATTTGGGTAGCTCCCTGGTGGGCTAGGTATGGAGCTTGTGCTGCAGAGGCTGCAGATAGCTTCAAAGTGCTATGCTTAACCAGGGAGGCCCTATGATTGGATTTTTAAAAGATTACTAAAACATTATTAAACCTGAGTGGTGACTAAAAAGATGAATTATGGTTCTTTTTGTCACAAAAGAGGCCAGGACTTTTTGTTTATTTAATTAACAAATGAAGAAAATTTTTATGTTGGGTTGTTTTATTTGAATCTACCACAATCCATGAATTTAATGCATTGATGATGTATAAATAACATGACTCAAATTTATTTTAATATGTGCCTTGAGCCTTTATGTGGACTTGTGTCATAGAGAGCATTACTTCTTGGGACATCATGTGTACCCTTGTGACTTATAATAGTACCTTATATTATAATGTAATTACTGAGAAGACCAGAAGAAATCATTAGTGTGACATAGTCTTGTTGCTGACATCTTTAGATATGGAGTCTTTGAGGATGGCAACACCTTAATCTAGTTTTGGTGGAATCTTCTATTTAGCACATTATTTGTATTAACAATGACTATTTTGATTTATTTCAAAAAGGTATATGAATTGATGCTACGAGATGAAAGATTTTATCCTTCCTTCAGACAGAATGCGCTTTATGTACGAATGTTAGCGGAGTTGGATATGTTAAAAGATCCTAGTTTCAGAGGGTCAGATGATGGTGATGGAGGTAAGATGACACACACTGAACTTTCTATGTATAAATATTTCTTTCCGAAAAAAAAAAAAAAAAGGCCTTTCAGGCAAGAGATTGTTAATTTGAGTTGTGTCAGTCATATAGTTCTCTGGTAGTTTCCCTTTCACTGGTAAGTAATAATACTAATCATTAATAGTAGACTTACCAAAAAGATTAAATGAGATAACAGGATAACAATAATGATCCTGAGAGGGTATCATGTACTGTAAAGTAATTTTGAAAAACTATGGTTTTGTTTTTTGTTTTTCATTGACTATAACTTATTCGGAATTCTGCACAGTGTGGGAGACTTTAGAACTGGAAGAAGTATCAGGAGTCTTTAACCCAACCTTTCAGTTTTTTTCAGCTGAGGCTGCTGGGGCCTCTGTCAACATAACATAGTGAAAAAAACAGATATTGAGTCAGTATATTTAGATTTTACTCCTGTGTTACTACTTCCTGCCTGGGAGATGTTGGCCTCACCATTTATTAACACCTCATTATTCTCCGTTGTAAATCTGGAATCGTATTCTTCTCATAGTAGTATCTTACCTCAGAGTCATTGTCAGATTTATATGGAATTATATATATGAAATTCATTGTAAACCAAAACTCAAATATCAGTTTTCATTCAGGTAGTAATCAGTTATGTAGTAGGAAAGGCAACCCTTAGAGCACAAATCGCCAGATTCTTGGTGACCATTTTATTTGTGACACAGTTCAGAAATATTTAAGCTGTAATTAAATATTAAAAGTTTGATGAACACTCTGGTACATTCTACTAAGAAAATAAGCTATATAAATATAGTCAGTGGGAAAGATTTGACTAAGTAACTATTTTAAATCACTGTTTTATTTATGATAATTAACTTACAAAAAGATTTTATGAGCAGGACCACTTGGTGATGGAGGTATAATACAGGAGGTAGTGAGTACTACTTAAAAAAAAAATAGCTCTATTGTGGTACACTTCCTAGCCTCCCCTCTGCTCTATCTAATAATCTTCATTGTACAATAGTAATAGATTTTACTTTCTAAATTATGTAAGAAATCTAGTTAGAATATTTAATTTTAATTTTAATTTTTTTATATTGATTATTGATCTAATATCTTAGATTTTTAAATATTCTGGTTTGTTTTTAAAATTTGAATAATGTGCTATTAACTGAATTTGGCTGCATAATCAAAACTTGCCTGCATAATTAAGGAAAATTTTTTTTTTGAAAGTGCTGAATAATAAAATTCAGTGTACCTTGAGTATATTCTGTAATAGTATTTACTATATCTGTTGAAAAATCTTTTATAAAGCTGGTATAAATTTGCAATACCAATTCTGTTTCTGGAAAGTACTATTTTTTACTTTTATCTACTTAAAAAACTTCTTCATTGTTGTGAAACGGATTTGCTATCTGACCCAGAATGAAAGAAAATAAATTGATTCATAATCAGTGAGCTGATTTTTGAACCTTAACGCAAGAACGCTTAAAAAATATTTTAGTTCTATGGGGATTACACCCCATAGGGGGTGAGGGGAACCAAATATTTTTTACAAATGAGCAATGATGTAAAAAAATTTAAAAAAAATTAATAAATAAAAATAAAAATTCAAATAAAATATATACTTAATAGCAATTCTATAATGTATTTTAAAAATCCAATACATGGCATTAAAGACTTGGAAGTACAGGCACACTGTTGGTTTATGTTAGAATGTAACTTTCTCACTAGGGCTCCCATTCTAGTTTATTTAAATTCCAATGTACTAGTGGAAAAAAAAATATTTTAGTTGACTTTTAGCTCCCATTCTTAGATTTCTAGCCAGTCTATTTTCTTGTATGTAACTAATGAAAGCAAATTATTTATTAGCCATCTCCTCAAACTTTCCAAAACCTCATACTAACTTACAACAAAGTAGATTAAAAATTTTTTTCAGCCATTGATTTTGTTCTGAAGTTGATACATTTCACTTACATATCAGTCATGAGTAATCCCTTACACTGGAATTATTGAGTGTAGCTTGTAATTACATGTGTACGTATATTTCATTGTCTTTCTCCGACTTTGTTTTTTAACTTTTTTTTTTTATTCTAATTGATGAGCTTTACATTTTTTTTTTAAAGATTTATTTATTTATACAAGCACTGGGTACAGTCAGAAGCGTGGGAGGGTGAGAGAATTCACCAGAGCCAGAGCGTGGAACAGATCAGGCAGACTGACTAAATGCACTGCTGAGGGGAGCAGGAGGTGGCAGGAGAGGTCTGCTGCGCCATGTGGGACACTCGCTGGCAGCCAGGGATTGAACCAGCGCTGCAGAGGCTGCAGACAGCTTCGCAGCCCAGAGCTCTACTGCTGCACCACCAGGGGAGGCCTGAGCTTTATATTTTATAACTAAAAAATTGCATATCTCTTTTAAAAACCATTTGAAAAAAAGCATTTGAAGTGATGGGTATAATTTGAAACATTATTTTCCTTTATTATAACATCTTCAAAAATTTATTCTTTAAAAATCTTTAAAAAATATTCAAATTATGTTTTTTAAGTTTTAATCACATTTTTCTAACCATTTCAAACAATACTTTCTTTTGTTACTAGAGTTATCAAATTATTAAGTTGGACCTATGTTGATTTTAAATGTATTTCTGCCTGATATTGATCAAGAAAGTAAACTATACCTTGTTTTGCTTCTTAATTCTGCTTTTTTTTTTTTTACTTCTCTTTGGTGGGAAGATTTAAGAGGTGGATAGATCACAGAAGGAGAGGGAGACCTATAATTCAATAAGAAAGATAGAAGAACTTGTTAGTCATTTAATTATCACCTTACTGTTAAATAAGGGGTTATATATACTTGTAATTTCCAGTCTATCTTTTGTGACAAAGGGTCTGATAAACCAAGAAATATCTTTGTGCATTTAGAGTAGTTGAAGTTGAAAAGCAATGCCAACTGCTTCTTTCTGGAAATAATAAAAATTTGTTTTGAAGACCCATTTGGAGATTGAAATTCATAAATAATTTCTTAAGTGCTGGAAACCATATATTAACTTTAAACTGTTTATGAATATTGCTTACCATATATATTCCTTTGTGTTTTTAACAGAGAGGTATCTTAATTGGTAACTTATTTTGCTTAGATAAAAAATAAACACCCAAGGAAAGACTATTGCTTGATATTAATTTTAATAATGTATAATTAAATTTACTCTCTAACATGAAGTTTAAAAATATTTTTTCTTATTGGATTTTTAATTAAATGACTTGTATATGGAATTTAAATATTCTTTGTTCTGTTATATAATGTTTGAGGACTCTAGACTTCCAATGTTGTTGAGCCACATCTACCAAGAATAAGTAGATAAATTAAAAATTAGTCTATTTTGCTTTCACACTAAGGAATAATTAATTGCTCTTTTGAACAAAATACCTTTTCTGGGGGCTTGGGAGGAGGCTCAGTCAGAGAGACAACTTAAGTTGTGTATATATTTTCACTGAAAGATGTTGGGAGTAGTGTACCATAAATTTCTTTACTTTTATGTCTTGTGTGATGTTCATTCTTGATGTGAGAAGCTTAGATAAAGCAACTGTTTAAAAAAGTTTTTTTTACTGTATAATTAATTGAATTTCTTTTTCTACAGAATCTTTTAATGGGTCTCCTACAGGAAGCATAAATTTGGTAAGTACTATTGTGGTACTTTATTAAAGTGACTTGAAAATAAAATGAAAGACTGAACCTTAACACATATAAATAAATACTGTGTAAAAAAAGTCCCCAAATTACCTTTAGTATTATAAGGAATTATTATGCTTTTAAACAATTTTTAAATTAGTATATAATGTATAAATTCCTATATTAGGGCCTCCCTGGTGGTGCAGCGGTTGAGCACTGGGCTGCAAAGTTGCCCACAACCTCTGCAGCACCGGCTTGATCCCCGGCCACTGGCGAGGGTCCCACATGGCGCGCAGACCTCTCCTGCTGTGCCCGCTGCCCTCCTCAGCAGTGTACTTCATCTGTCTGCCTGTTCTGCTCCCTGCTCTGGCGCTGGTGAATTCTCTCACCTTCCCGTGCTTCTGACTGTACCCAGTGCGTGCATAAATAAATAAATAAATAAATAAATCTTTTAAAAAAATGAATAAATAAATTCATATATTGAATTTTTTTTTTTTTAAGATTTTTTTTTTAATTTTTTTTTTTTAATAGAGGCATGTTATTTATTTATTTATTTGTTTGTTTGTTTGTTTTGTTTATACATGCACTGGGTACAGTCAGAAGCGCGGGAGGGTGAGAGAATTCACCAGAGCCAGAGCAGGGAGCAGAGCAGGCAGAAGGACCGAAATACACTGCTGAGGGGAGCAGCGGGCGGCAGGAGAGGTCTGCGCGCCATCATATATTGAATTCATTTTTAAAATCATCTGTGAATTGTAACTTAATAAATTGTAACTTAAATTGTAATTTAATAAAAATTAAATTTCATTTTTATTTTAAAAAAACAAACCTGCATGATTTGGTTGCCTTTGATTAAAAATTGACTTTATTATTTTTCAGTCCCAATATTTAGTGTTTATAAAGGACTCTTTAATGCTATAATAGTAAATCTGTGATATAAATGTTTATAATTAGAATCAGTTTTTTTCTGCTATGTTTCTTTGTATGTAGCAAAGAAATATAGATAAAAATCTAAATTTCCTATTCCAATTCACCTGAGACTTCTCTCTTTTACATAAAAATAGTATTAAAGCAAAGGTGTGTTGTTTCAAAATATTTTGTTGGCAGTCACATAAGCATTTACAAATAAGTGTGTTCTATTTCTTTTCAAAGTAATTTTTTTTTTTAAATTTATTTATTTATGCATACAAGAGCTGGGATACAGGCCAGAGACGCATGGGGTGAGAGGATTTACCAGAGACACAGTGGGGAACAGAACAGGCAGAATGACTGAAATACACTGCTGAGGGGAGCAGCGGGCGAGTCAGGAGAGGTCTGCTGCGCCATGTGGGTATCTCCCTGGTGGGGGCTCGAACTCGTGCTGCAGTGACCGCGGATAGCTTCATAGTGCGGTGCTTAACCCCTTGCGCCACCAGGGAGGCCCTCAAAGTAATTTTATTTGCGTTATATCCTGATAGTTGTACAGCAGACATTGATACCATCCTACCATTGGGAAGAGTGAGATGCCAAATTCATTGATGTGACTATAGTGAATATCAGTGGTAGAGCCTTGACTAGACTTAATTTAATGATTCCCCACTTGACTTGGCCATTGAAGTCTGGTGGATCACCTATATGGAATTATCACATTTTATTTCTTTTAATAATCAGTCTTTGGTAGATACACCTTTGCCTTTCTTCTTGGAATGTAGTTGCCTCATTTTAAATGGCTTTATGTCATCTGTATGATGGCATTTAAGTTATTTTGATGACTCTTTTATAATGATCAATACTAGCACAGTAGGACTCCAAAGTTGATTCAGATCCTGTGGTTTTTGAAGTATGAAATATATGTCTGAATCACATAATATCTTGTTTTTTAGGTCCACAGAACCACTTCTGTGCTCGGGTTTTTACTAAGAACACTCACAAGCCTCAGCATAGTCCCACTCATGGCTTGGACTTATTACAGTGAAAGGTCATAATATAAAATCAGCAAAAGAAGAAGTGCATGGAACAAAGTCCTGGTTTTCCACGTGGAAAACCAGGCACAAGTTTTTAATATTCCTCTCCTAGGGAAGTCACATTGTACAAATTTAATTAACTCAGCAACAAGTATGATGACAACATATGAAATGTTGCTTTAGGAAAGCTTACTTGAGAGTTGAGTACCCAGGATTTTTATTGGAGGCAAGTTACTTAGGCACTTTCTGCCTAGCACATATCAAAATTCCAGACTTCTAGATGGGAAGCACATGTTCAGCATAAATTACATTGTTGAAACACACAGTTTAGGTGCAGTGAACTGCTCTTACCATTTAAGGGATGGTGAGGAACCTTCCCTAAATCTATGTCTCATTGCCATCTAAGGACCAACTGTGCAAGCTGTCCTAAGAGAGAAATTTAAAACCTGCTATATTAACTCTTTTCTGGTTACTAGATTTTCATTATATTATTATATTCTGTATATGTGTGGGTGTGTACATTTGTGGCAAAAAAAGTTTTAAATTAGAACACACAGACTTTTATAAAATAATCATTCTGGGTCAGTCAATAATAATTTTTGCTTGTGGCATTTGCTTTTGAAAATTTAGTTAGGTCATGGATTCACTTTGCTTAATAGTAATCATAATAACACCTAACATTTTTTGCGTTCATTTTCTAAGCGATTATTATGTCTTATTTAATTCTCATATGACCTATGGTATTACTACTATTATTATATCCATTTTACAGATAAGGAATCTAAACAAAATTTATTTATAAATTGACATAAGAGTTAAAGAATATAGAGTTGACAGCTAACTCTAGTATATGTCAACATTTAAAAAAATTGAAATGTTAATATGTCTCCTTTTAACCACTTTTTTTTTTTTCATACATTACATGATTGAGAAGTAGCACATTTAGCAAATTATAATATACAGACAAGCAGTGAAGTAACAAATCTAATGTTATAATTAGGTTGATTTCTATATTATCTTGTTGATACTTTCTTAATCTTGACTTTTCTCTCCTATTTATTTGGAATACCAAATAATATAAAGCTTACAAATGTGGGCAAAATGAGTAATGCATATGTGATAAAGAATTCTTTAACACTTATTTCTTTGTAAAAATTTTATTTTCTGATTTCTTCCCCCAGTCTCTAGATGACCTTTCAAGTGTATCTTCTGATGACCCAATACAACTTCATGCTTACATCTCAGACACTGGTAAGAAATTTTTATGGTAAAATTATTACTTTAAAACTTTATTATTATCCCTACATTATTATTCACTTTTTTTTTTACAAATCATGTTTTGTTCTGTAATTCTACTTTTAAGTTGCTTTTTTTTTTTACCTGCAGCACATTTTTCATTAAATTCTGTGTTTATTTGCCTATATATCTGTGTATTTCCTCTCTCAGACTGCCATTGTTAACATTTGAAAAGCTTAAATCCTAATCATTTTATCACTGCTAATAAACTCTGAAATCAGTCTTTTCCTTTTTTTGTTTGAGTTTAGCTTGTAATTGTCTGCTTAACTCTTGTTTTAGGGGAAATTTATTTTAATACTTATTTTTTTATATGCAGAGTCAGAATAGATAACAGGTAAATGAAGCTTTTGAGTGTAGGATTTACAGAAATTCAGGAAATGCTTTGATGAGGGGAGAAACCTTGTTAAGATTTTGTGACTCAATAATAAGCATGTGTGTAAAATGGTTAATGAATTGAGGGGGAAAAATAACTACATCATTGCACTTGGTTATTAGATAATGCCAATAACTTGTAGATAATGATCACTTTCTTACCTGGTTTCTCATTATTCCTGCAGCATAGGAGTAGCTTGGATTACATTACATATAGAAGTATAAACATAGTGAAGTGTATACCTCAATTCCATTTCATGTTTGCATTCTGGAAACGTTAAAGAGATTCATTGTACAGGTTTAAAAGATAATAATAATCTGCATCTTTTAAAAAAGACCTGTTTGCTTTTCACTGGTGCTGGGGTCTGATTTTGCATTCTGTTCTCTGCCAGATTTCTAGAAAAAATTATAATTGCTGTCTCAGTTGTTACTCTTTTACAAATAGTTGGTGCATCACTTACTCTGCTCTTAAAGGCCCTTATATAATAGCCTTGCCAATGAAAACAGAGGTGGTGTTGCTTTTCTTTCTAGTGTTTGATAGTTCTCTCACCTTTTCCTTCCTTAATATTTTTAAATTTTTTTGAAAATATCAATTTTCTTCATTGATTTATCTCCAAATGTGAAAACCTCTGTTCAAGAATAAGCATTCAGTATATGTCCTGTTACTTCTTTCTTGAAGACTTCAAAGTTTCATATTCTAAAGAAAGTCATTAATGCCCATATTTCCTCTGTGCATCTTTCACTTCTCTGAGATTGTTGATTTTCTAATTCTTTTGTCTATTTACTCAACAAATATTTATTAGATTATTATAGAAATAATCAATCATATAAACAATTACATATGAGCATTATATATGAGCATTTGCTCAAAAAATACTAATTTTACCAGTTAGACTCCAGAGTCATTTTGAATCTAGATTCTATGTCCTTAACATCTTTATTACAGAAAATCAAACTTGTAGTCAAGTCAGTGCTACTCAAGAAATGGTCTCTGGACTCCTTCATTGAGAAATCTTGCTTTAAAAAATATTGGCTAAACTAAACAATGGACTTGGAGACAAGAAATTGATTTATATTATGGTTGTAGTTCCTTTTCTAGTTATAGATTGATAATAGATGGCTTGCATATCACCTGCTGTAAGTAACATTGGCTTAATGGAAACAAAACCTACTACAGTATTTCATTATCATCTCAAAATCAATATACATTAATCTTACTATATAACTTTATATATGTAGTCTTCTTTTAAAATCAAAGTTTATTTCTATTTTCTGCACACTGGTCATGATCTTCCTGCCTGTCATTCTGTGACAAAACCTCATTATCCTTTAAAAAATGACTTCTTACATTCCTCTGTTCTTTCCTACACCTTGTGGTTCCTTTAGCTCTCATTAATTCCTATTTGATTATGGTTTGCTGCCCAATTTGCCTCTGCTTTCTATTTTCTTTTCCCAAACCTATCTTGGACACAGTAGATAGAGCCATTCCCTTTTTGCCATGCTGACTCCATTGAGTAATGGTAATTCTTTGATATGATGAAAATGTGATATGCAGTTTGATCTGAATTAATCTCTGAGTGAAGAATAACTAGCAGTGAATGTTGCTTATAGTTAATGCATATGAGAGCAAGATTTCCAACATCTTTATATAAAACTATTCTTAGTCTTTTATTTTGTCATTATCAAGAACACTGATATTAGATGGAAAGGGAATGAAAGACTGTTTTGAGCAAAAAGTGAAAATCTTCAAAAAAAACCTGATGAACACCTGAGAGATATTTCTGTGTAAATTTGCCAGTATATGGATTTCTAATTTTCTGTGATTGAAATAATTCATCGAGAGCCTATATGGACCCTTTTTCATCTAACTTGTATACAAAATATTTACTCATCTTTAGAACTTGATTTTTTTCAAAATTATGAATTAATGTAATGTGTTATATCTTAAGCATAATTCAAACTATGATCAATATGGTAAAATTTTCTAAACTGCTATTGGAAATTCTGCCTTCTGCACATAGAAAGGCTGAAAACAGTAAAGTAAAAATAGTTGAAGTAGAAAATCTTCAGGAGCCATAGACCATAGGAAAAACAAATTTATGGACATGAAAGGGAGTTGAAGACAAAAATCTCATAGGAGCATATAAAAACTGCTGTCTTGATTTTGATATCATGTTTATGTCCTCAAGTTTAGAAAAGTCAGGGTGGGCTAAATCCATGGGAAGCTGGAATGTTCTTTGCATGTCCCAGGATTACAAAGGGTGACTTCTTGTGGGGGAAAAAAAATATTTAGCCTGCTGCTAGGGAAAGAATGAAAGAATGTCAAGGTCATGGTTGAAAATGGTATCTATCACAAAAACTGAAAGCCTTACTTTTATCCCAACATGGGTATGTCTAGACTCAATCATCCTCAAGTTACATTATAAGGTTTCCACCAAGCCTGACAGTGTCTTAAAAGTATTCATAGAGATCCAAAGAAAATTGTAGACATAAAAAGTACAGTGTTTAAAGTTAAGATCAGTGAATGGACTAAGAAATAGACCTTAAATAGACTAGTTAGCTTCTGGAGATCTGGAGAAGTAAACTCGAATAGAGTGAACTGCAGCATAATACAGAGATAAGAAAATGTAAAATAAGAAAGACAAATTAAAGATAATTATTCACAGTGCATCTCTTAAGATTAGTACAAAATAAAATTAAGCTTTTACTTTAAAGACTCTGGCTTGAATGGTTTGTGGTAAATCAATTAGGCAAATACCTCTTTTTCTTAATCCCCAGAATAAACTACACTTGCAAATTGTTGAATAGTATGAGAAAGAGAGAGATTTGCCAAGAGTTTTCACTGTCTGTTTAGTTGAAGAGCTTTTAACTGACATATACCTGTGTAGTGAAGGCTAGTACAAAAAGCTATTTTTTTTCCTGTTATTTTTCCTTTATTAAATTTAAGACATTCATGCTAACGTTACTACAGTATCATAATCATTAATAGGTAACTTTTGGGAAAGTGAGTCCAAAGTAGGCATCATTGTGTAGTTGTTAGTGCCAACATAAGCTTGTAGTTTGTTTCGTACTGTAGCCATCATATGTAACTCATGATGGGTATGAGTACAGAGGGTGAGAATCTATTTTATCTTTTGATGACATCCTTTTGTCTCAGTCTGTCATTTCAAATTCTTCATTTCATGTTCTCCTTTTTGTTTGTTTTTGTTCTTCATCTTCCTCCTTTTTGTGTCTTTTGTTCCTCTTCATTTTGTTTTAAATGACTAGTATATGCTGACTATGACCCATATGCTGTGGCAGGCGTTTGTAATGATCATGGCAAGACATATGCATTATATGCCATCACTGTTCACCGGCGCAATCTAAACAGTGAGGAGATGTGGAAAACCTATCGTCGTTACAGTGACTTCCATGACTTCCACATGCGAATCACTGAACAGGTAATGAGGTTTTTAAAGCTGTGTACTTTACGTTGTTTTCCTGATTCAATGTTTGATTCTAAATAGTTCTGAGAATGCTAAGGTATTGATCAAAGCTAATGAAAGAAAATAAGGTAAGAGTTTTTATATAATGAGCATAAGTTAGAGTGACTTTGAACATTTAACTAACCAATCAAACCATTTGGAGTAGTGACAAATATAAGTGGTGTACCTTGGAAACTTAATGTATGCTTCTCACTTTAACATTTGTGTATGTGTGTGCACACATGCACATGTGTACGCCTTGTGTGTTGTGCTTTGCAGAAGTCTTTGGGTTTGGTTTAAAGTAAGAACAAGGATCAGTATAGGACTTCTGGTGTATTTTTAGAAGCATATTTGACAGCTATAGTTATTTTAAATGGTATTCTTACAGCGTACCAATTGATCCATTAGTTAATTTTTAAGAACCACACCTAAATTAAATTTAACATAATGTTTTCATTTCTTGCTAAATACATGTTTTATTTCTTGTAAACCTTTTTGTCTTATAGAAGTATAAAGAACCATAAAAGTAACAAATGTCAACAAATTGTTTCTGTTCTGTTTTTTATTGAATATTTTTTAATTTTGGAAAATAAATTACCAATAAGCTGCCATTAGATGAATTGGATAAGTGAGCTATGAAAATTGTTTTAATTCTGCAGATTGATTGATTCAAGGTTTTTAGATTTATATTGCTTTTAAGCCAATATAAATAATAATAAATGTTGACATTTAATTGGGTAGGCTGAAGTTTTGAAATATCATATTACTTTAGTAATCAGAAAATATCTTTTTCACTTAAAAGAGTGGAAAAAATAACACTGGCCCATGGTAATATCACTGAAATTTTTCAAATAGAGTAAGAGAAACTATTAATAACTTAAGTAATTAATAGCAGGTTGGTGGTGACTCCAGCAACCCAGATTAAAAGAACTATTTTGAATTACATTCATTAAAAAATCAATAATTTGGCCATGTCTGTTCTTCTATTCATTTGTTTTAATTTCTCCATGGTTGCTTGATTTGTAAATATGCAATAATGGAAGAAATAATTGCTTTATTTTTTCAAAAATTACATTTCCGATGCTAATTTATTTATTTTTATTGAAGTGGAAATTTCCCTTTTATTATTGGGCGATAAAGAAAACGTTTGCACTCAGATGGAAATGGAAAAGTCAACCCCCCAAAGCATAATGATTAAATTAGTGTAGCAGCAAGAAGGGACAGAGCAGGTTCTTTATGACCCGAGCAGACAAGGTAAAGGAGGAGTCCTGTAGTCCTTATTGGCTTTTTCAGGCTTGTATTGGGATTTACCAGGTACACGGCAGGCAAGGGTGCCGGGGCAGCCAGGAGGCTGGCAGGCCACCCAGCTCCCGGCGAGTCATCCACTCTTTCTGGGCTCTCCGGGGTTCTCTCGTGGCCTCTGCTTCTCTGCTCCTTTTGCTCTGCTGTACTGGTGTCTCTGTGACGCCGCCCTTATAAGCCCAGTCTCAGCCCAGGTGAATCCCATCTACATATGTCCACACCCTACTTCAGGTGCCCACCATGAGGTATTCATCATTAATCATTAATTAATTCGGAGTTCATCATTAATCCTAATGGCGGGAGTCTGATGCTAATTTAAAAGCACATAGCTTCTCTCTTCCCATCACTAGACTTTGAACACGTCAAATTTTAAGATTATTTGAATTGCTGTGGGTAGTGTTACTTCTCAAATTAATGGGAATTTGGTATATTATGAAATTAATAATTTTCTTTCCATCATTAAGAGGAACAGTCATTGCCTTAATTTTCTGGGCTAGGACTGTACATATTATGTTTACATATTGAAAAAAAGTGAAGAACATACTTTTAAAAAACCTTATTATTAGAACAGTCTATAGAAATTTCACTTTATACTACCAAAAATTAAGTGAAATTGATAAAACACAATTCATTTTTGAAAGGAAGTAGTACAGATGAAGATGATGTCTTTTGCTTTGTGTTTTTGCCTTTTGTTACCTTTATACTTACACTAGTGATCTTTCTTAGATGTTTATTTTTTTTAAAATTTTAAACATGCTAGTTTATTTTTTGCCAATATAAGATTTTTTCCCTCAGTTTCAGTCATCATAGTTTTCCCACCAGCAGTGTACCCACAATCCTCCACCACACTCGGCTGAGTGCCCCCCAAACCTTTCTCTACACTCCCTCTCTTCCTCCACTCTTCCTCTCCTCTTTAATGTCTCAGAGCCTAGGTCTACTTTCAAGTGTCAGTCTTAATAGTTTGTCTGACCCACCCTTTGTTTCTATTTCTCTAGATTTCCCATGCTGTTCACAGAGCTTAAGATTAAAAAACTAAGCTTGCATGTGATAATTTAGGTTTCAGAAAAATACTAATTGGGCCTCCCTGGTGGCACAAGGGGTTAAGCACAGCACTATGAAACTATCTGTAAGCCTCTGCAGCACGAGTTTGATCCCCAGCCAGGGAGCAACTCACATGGTGAGGCAGACTTTTCCTGTCTCGCCCACTGCTCCCCTCAGCAGTGTATTTCAGTCAGTCTTTCGGTTCTGTTCCCCTCTTTGTCTCTGGTGAATCCTCTCACCACGCCCCCGCCCCGCACCTCTGGCCTGAACCCCAGTTCTTGTATGCATAAATAAATAAAATCTTTTAAAATTGAAAAAAAAGAAAAATGCTAATCTTTTATAAGTAATTCCCAGGTCATTTGCCTATTAACTCCTTCTTATCTATATTTTTAAACTCACATCCCCTATAAAATAGCAGAAGAAAAATAGTGACTTGTAATTTACCAGTTGATAACAGTATAACCTGTTGACACAAATGTTAAATTCATGGAGTTTTTAGAGTATTAAAATTATTTTAAAAACAGAATTCATTCTGTTTATTTAACTTTCTTATATGAGTTTTTTTTTTTCTGATTATATGGACAATTTTCTTTAAAGATTTATTTAATAGTCTTATTTTGTATCTTATGCAAAACATGGATAAAAATTAAAACAAAGTGTTAAATGTTATATTATTTTAGAAATGGCCTGAACTACCCATTCACTGTAAATAAATATTTATTGAGTTTTTCTTGCGTGCATAGCACTGTTCTCAGGACTGGGACCAATTAGAAAGTAAAACAAATCAAGTCTTTGCTGCTAAGTATTTATATCTAGTAATAGTATGTATTTCTGTTTTGTTGGGTGAGCTGTTAATACTAGTGATTAGCATTTTACTAGTAGTAAAATACTAATGATTTTAAAAGTATTAAGTATTTATTAAAGTAACTGCCATTTTTCTAAAGACCCTATCTTTAAATATAGTCCCATTGTGAAATACTGGAAGTTGTCTTTCCTCATTATACAAATTTGTGGGACTACAAGTCAGCCCATATAACACTTAGTAACGCCAGAATAAACTGCATTCTGTAACATTGAGTCAATAGATTAAGATAACATGGATAGGTAATATTTCAGGATATTGAATATTCTTTAGAACACCCTGAGAAAGTAAATTTATTTTGTTGGGATGTGATTTGCAAAAATTAACTCTTAAAACCAAGTACTTTCCATTGAGCACTTGATATTCAATGAGGAACCATCCTAATGCTTTTGGAACCAGCAAATATGTGACTATCAATACAGTATAACATTTTCCCTATAAATTGTGTCTCTCCTTTTTCATTTTTTCCCCCCTTGTCTGGAGCAAAAGAACTACTTTTGCCTTTCATGTATAATATGTAATGAATGTGTTCATATTTTAGCTCTAAGCTACCACAGGATTTGCCGTTTCGTTTAATAGTTCATTAGAATCTTCCAGTTTGGAGATAAAATTACCCTTCACCTTTCATTTTCTCCTCTCTTTAATCTTTGCAACAGGAAGGAGTTTTCTTTACAGAGACATTATTGTTAATTGTTTTTGAGCAAAGAACAGTTTTAGAAAGTTTGTTTGGATTCAAGATTTGTATCATATGGGAAAAGCAGGGAATGTTCTTTAAGATTCACATACTTACTGTTGGCCAGGAATAGTCCTCTCTTAATGACTTTGCTCTTACACTATTGCTACCAGCAATCATGTTTAAAATTATGTTTCAACCCAATGGTGGTATGCAAATACTACCTCAGTTAAAAATAAACAAATTTTAAAAATCTGTGCTTCATCAAGGCACAGCAGACTGTACTATTTATCTGGACCATTGAATGCATGCAAATATTAAGTCTGTAAGTGCTGTATATACATATTTTGTGTTTGTGACTTTGCAGAGACAAAATACTTGCTGTTAGCTCTTCATTCCTTTTTTTTAGTAACCTCTAATTTTATTTTTCAGGTATTGGGTTGTCGGAAAAGTCATGATACATTTATGTGAAGAAAACGTAGAAAAAAAAATGTCATGACTTTTTCCACAACCCAATAGTTTGTGAGAATTATCAATGTTTATTATAGTTACAGCTAAACAAAACTGTAATATAGCTGTAATCTTGATTTTGAAATAATTAGTTCTACTTTTGATAATTAGTTATTACAATGATTAATTGATTTGAAGCCATCAGTATATAATATATCTGTTTATGAGATTGTTTAACACATCAGGAACTCATAACCTTAATCATTATATCTTATTTGCTAACACTTTATTTACAAGTCAAAGAGTTGTTATGGAAAATATTTTTTAAGGCCTATATAATGAGAATTTTGAAGTCTCAAAAAGAGAGTAATAATTAGAGTGGACCTCTCTCATCTTCATCAGCTTTTCACATTTGTCATTCCTAATTGAAGATACTTCTTTATAATAAATAACATTGGAACTGTAGTTTGGACAACATTTTTCTATTTTCTGATTTTTGTTTAATATAATAAAATATATTGCAAAATTAAAGATGCTTTTGATATATAGAGAAATTGCCATGGAAAATACTTTTTTCATTTTGTAAACAACTAAGATTATTGAATGTGTTTTGTCTTCTAGTTTGAAAATCTGTCAAGCATATTGAAGCTTCCTGGAAAAAAAACTTTTAATAACATGGATCGAGATTTTTTAGAAAAAAGAAAGAAGGATCTAAATGCATATTTGCAGGTAAATCTGTATTTATTATTATTCATAGATTTTCATTTTAATATAGCACACAGATATAGCAGATTTTTTAAATTAAGAAATGTTTTATAGTGGGAAACAACCACTTTTGAGTAGCATGTCAGATGTGACTTGCAATCTGTGCAGTTATTTATAAATAATGTTCTGTTTATTGTTTAACTTAGAGGTTTTCTGGACACTTTGTGCAAAGAATTTTGCATCTTTGGGTTTAAATAAATACATACACACATACACACATCCTCATTCTACATTATTGTAAAGTCCAGATATTTTGTGGTAGGTTAAACATTTAAATATTTCCAATTCTGTGCTCAGTGAAATAAGCCAGAAGGAAAAAGAAAAATAACGCATAGTTTCACTTATAGCAGGAATATAGGGGAACCAGATATGACATCAGTGTAAAAAATAATAACAGTACAAAATACAACAAAGCAAAAACGGACAATTATAAATCAGAGACATACTGCAGGGGAGGAGGAGGGAAAGGGATCGGAGGGAGGGAGGAGCACAGGGGACTGAGGTGATGGTGCACAGGTGCATTGGTAAAGGAAACTCTATGGGGACTACACCTGAGGGGGTGGGGGAAGCAAATATTGTTTAATAATGAGTGATGATGTAAAAAATAAAAAAAATAATTAAAAAATAAAAAATAAGTAAATAAATATTTCCAATTCAGTAAATAGCAGCTCTTTATGATGTATCTAAAGCTAGCAGATGTTTATACTCAACCATATGTGTGTTACTGCCTCCCGTGGTCCAGAATAAGTCTAAGACTCTTGATAATCGAGGAGAGGAGTAGATCTGAGAGAATATTTCTCATGGGTAGCATCCAGGGCATGTAGATTTCTCGGGTGGGATGCAAGACATATCTCGCAAATTACTTATTGCATTAGGTGTTAGGATTCCCAGAAATAATTGTGTTTTAGACCTTGTTTCCCAGATAACTATCACTAAAAAGTTTTTCTTGCAAGTGAATGGCTTATGAAATTTTCCAATCTATAAGACAATGTCTCAGTCCAGGTAGATGGTTTTTCATTATTTAGCTATCCACTCTACCCTGTAGATCAGAGAATTATCAAATTACAGCCTGCAAATCAAATCCATCTCACCATATGTTTTTATTTGCGTTTTATTGGAACTCAGCCACCTATTTAGTTTACTATTGTGTACGATTACTTTCATACTACAACAGCAGAATTGAGTAATTGCTATCTGGTAATTACAGAAAAAGTTTGCCAAACCCTGCCTTAATATTTTGTGAAACCCAGCTAATGCTATACTGGATGTTTTGATTAGATAGTTTCTCTCTCTTAAACTTTTAAAAGTTTGATTAGGTTAGTATATAACAATAATTTTAATTCTGCATTGTTACTGAATGTATAGCAAAAGCATTTAAATCTCTGATATTGTTCATCTTGTCATCTCCTGGTTTGAAGTGGAATGTCTGATATAATTTATACAACTATCATTAAACATTTTGATATTTTTATTATATTTTAATTCCATTAAAATCTATCAATTACTTATGAGTTAGAAAAATCACTACCTTTTTTCCAAATCTGGTGCCACAAATGATCTTTGTGTCTATGTACTATGAACTTCTTAGCTAAAGAGCTCAATGTGTCAAATGATGTGTTCAGTTGAAGGAATTGAACTGGAATGTTAGATCATATCATTAGCAGTTGTGAAAGCAATACTTTTATAACACTGGAAAGTTTTTGTTTGGAATATTTTATGTATTTTTTATTAATGTCGACTTTAGAATAATTATGTGACTAATACAACAGTTTACTAATGCGAATCTTCTTAGTATAAAACATGAAAATGAGATAGTAAATATATTTGGACAGCTTTCACAGTAGATGCACTGAAATTCAAAATAGCAGATGGGAAGAATGTACACCAAACTGTTAATGGTCACAGAATTATTGATGACTATTTTAACTGCATAGTTATTTGTTAATATAAAATTAAAATCTTTGTACATTCTTAACTTCCTGATAAAATTATAAATAGTAGTTAATTTCTAGCATTTTATCAATGTGAGATTGCTCTTTGTTTCCTGCTAGTTACTGTTAACACCTGAAATGATGAAAGCATCCCCAGCTTTGGCTCATTATGTGTATGATTTCCTTGAGAACAAAGCCTACAGTAAAGGGAAAGGGGATTTTGCTCGAAAGGTAAGTAACCACTGCATTGGTTTTCTTTATAGATGTGTTTTTTCATACTTTGTTAAGGAAAATAAATTTGTATTTGTATATAAGCTTTAAAACTAGAAACTTTGATTATTTTCTTCTATATGATTATTTTCTTGTGTACTTTATTCTGCCTACTATTGATAGGAATACCTGTTATTAGCCTATGTTGATAGGAATATCTGCTCAAACTGGGGAAGATTGGTTTCTTAGACCACAACTTTGGAATCAGACTACCTCTAGATCAAATCTCTGCTTGGCCATTTACGAGCTGTAACCTGCAACATACTAATTAACCTCTTTGTCCTTTAGTTTTTATAAGAAATGAAGATATTCAGCCTCACTCTAGAGCACTGTGTGAATCAGATTTATTACAGTACCTGACACATATTTAACCTCTAAATTAAATCTAAGGATCTTTGTTTTAATAGTAGTAGTAACAGTAGTAGAAAGAGCAGGAACAGCAGTTGGGGATACTGGGTGAAAGGCATATAGGAACTCTGCAACTTTATAGAAGTCTGAAATTACTTCAAAATTAAAATAAAAAAAAAAAGGCTTCCCTGCTAGTCTTTAAAAGATTAGCTTTTAAAAAAAGATTAAGGAATTTGTACAAAAAGTAAGAATTAACAACTATAAGCGTAATGTAAAATATTGGATTTTAAAATCTAAATAGATGTTAAGATTTCTAAGTGGAATGTTTTGTTTAATAGCACGTTTTAGGATGTTTACCTTATAATGGAAAAAATATCATAGTATTATTTTTGTATTTCATGATTGAAGCAATTGATTTTCTAAAGGGCTTTATTATTAATAGAAATTCATTCCAGTTTTACATCATTCTGGAGTTTATCTTATTTTCTCTCTTAAGATTGCATCAGTTTTAAGATAAATAAATTGATAGCAGCTTTTTGAGATAAAAGGCCATTGTGCTAAATCTAAATTTATACAATTTATTTTTATCAACCAACTATATATGTGTGTGTGTGTGTGTGTATGTATGTTTATATCTAGATGTATACACACATATATCTGGTTATATGTCAATTTAAAAAAAATTAGTACTTGTGTATAAGGATTCTTTTGAACCATTTCTGGATTTCTACAGTAAAATACATTTTTTTATCAATTATGTTGGTGATCATCAGGGTCCTCGTCACATGTTTTAGATTATCAGAATAATTTTTATGCATGTCAAGAATAAGAGTTTTCATTTCATTTCCTTTTGGCTAAGTTATTTTGTTATTTTTCCTTAATTCTACTTCAGTTTAATGAAATAGCTGTCAGAGAAAATCATCCACATATAGTTTATTGTTGAATTATTCAGACCTTGAGAAATAATGCTTTATAATTAATTGCTTGTACATTTGTGTACAGACCAGTTCCTAGAAAGAGTAACTGACTAGCAATCTTTATATCTTTCTATCCTGCTTTAGATCATGTTATGAGGCATTTTTAGCAATAGTTAGGGATCTAAATTTAAAATTCCACTATTTGTGTTGTTACCAGTAAAAAAAAAAACCTAAGGTGATAATTGAATTATTAGACATCTATGTAAATCTATGTAAATCAGGCTATGTGTACACTTGGCAATCTATAATTTACTCTTCTGCCTGAAAATTTTCAGGTTTCTTTTTTTTTGTTGTAAACATCTGTTTTAAGACAAAACCTGTTTTTTGGACATGTCTTTATGTAATGATGGACTCTGCTTTTATTCTCTAAAATTTTACTTCCTTCAGGATTAGGCATCAGAGTCACAAAGTAGAAGTTTTTCCATCCCTCTTGGCTTCCCCCCCCCTTTTTTTTTTTTTTTATAGAAGCATGTTTTATTTATTTATTTGTTTGTTTGTTTGTTTTTGTTTATACAAGCACTGGGTACAGTCAGAAGCGCGGGAGGGTGAGAGAATTCACCAGAGCCAGAGCGGGGAGCAGAGCAGGCAGAAGGACCGAAGTACACTGCTGAGGGGAGCAGCGGGTGGCAGGAGAGGTCTGCACGCCATGTGGGACCCTCCTTCGGTGGCCGGGGAACAGCCAGGGATCGAACCGGCGCCGCAGAGGCCGCGGGCAGCTTCGCAACCCAGCGCTCAACCGCTGCGCCACCAGGGAGGCCCTTGGCTTCCCCTTTTATCACTCCCATACAAATGCTTGAACTTTACCTCCAAAATGGGGACAGTGGTATAGGGAATTCTGTAGGTCTAGTATGTGCACAGACAACTATTTTTAATTGTTATCAATCCATAATACAGATATAGGTTGTCTTATCTCAAGATTATCAGTACCTAGATAGCATATGAGGTTTTAAGCATATTACCAAGTCTAAGGATTGTATTAGCTGAAGCCACACTTCTACTGTGAAGTGTAAGGTATATAAAATTCTAAAATACTTTTGAGGATATTCAAATAATTTTTAATGTAGATTGTGGATTAAAATGAAATTCATGTCTTTTATGCTTCTGAAATTATATCTCTTCTATGAACTTAGTAACTTAGATGAACAATGGCATTTTTCCCTTAAACTGTACATTTTAAGTGTAGTATTCTCATGTTTATCTCTCTTAACAACTCTGCTTGTATTATTATGACTTAGTTTATTTGTACTGTTACTACATTGAAAAAAAATACTTGGCTATGTTGTTATTATTGAAAATAATGTCTTGATTAGAACGTGCTGTTCTGGTTAACCAAATGTGATGAGAATTACAATTGCATATATATTGTTTTATTATAGATATGTAACTTTGCCCAATAATATATAATAATATAACTTTATTATATTATTATATAATAATATAACTTTATTTTATTACAAATATATGTTTTACATATATTTACCTCCATATCTCTCTCTTTACCAGTAATAATATAACTTTATTTTATTACAAATATATGTTTTACATATATTTACCTCCATATCTCTCTCTTTACCAGTGGCAAGTTTTTTAAGCCTTCTTCATCCTCATTTCTGTCCTTTGGTTCTAATCTAAATTGTGACAGATTCTCTCCTAAAGGTTGCATATTTCATCAAGCATATCTTAAACAGCATCATTTACTCAGCTTAAGCCAGGGAGTAATTAAAACTCCCAAATCTTTTACACTTTACCTTAAAAGTCACTTCTGTTGTTACTATTATTACAATACTTATTTTACCTTTTTAATTTTTCTTGATGGAAACCTGAAAGTATATTATAGTGAAGATGTTCTGACTTCTTGATAGCATTTATTAATAATCTGCTATATTGCTTAAGCTGTGGGACACAGTTTTTAAATTTCTTTTTGCATTGAACAGACTTCTGTGGTAGTTTTTATGGCATCAACACTTTCTGGGAAATATTCTTTTAGTTTTTTATGACTGGTTGCTTTTTATAACTTTGGTCTGATTTGGTGTCTTTTTGTTATAGTTGTTTTTCCAGTCAAAAATCTCAGAGAGTTGCATTTGCAACTGTATCGGTTTCTTTAGGTGTCTCTCCCATTCTTTGTTGAAATTATTTGACATTTGTAGAGTTAGAATGTTGATTTTAATGCTTCCTATTGCTCTGGAGATTTTTATTTCTTTTTATATCTCGCAACATGTTTTCTTTTATAGTTATTTACTAATTTGCGACTTTTTTTCTTCTTTGCATTGGATTTCAAATTCCCACCATAGATTATAATCAAACATGTAATATAGCCTAAAATTATTTTTAAAAAATTAATGTTAGTTACCTATTATTTATTTGAAGTTTATTTTATCTGCTCAAAATAGCTGTCATTATTTTTTTAAAGTATAACTGAAGTTTGTTCTATTCCAATTGCATCAGGTTCTGTTTTGTAAAACTCCCATTTTCCCCAAAAAATCTTAATGAGAGGCAACCAAAGCTTATATTTATTTTCTAACAGTGACCTTAACACTCAAAATTCCTAAATTTTGACTGTGAAAATATATTTTTGAAAACAAGAGCTTTATACTTAAAATGTAGTGAGATATTATAGATTGGAAAATTATTACCTCTTATGTGTTGCATTATGTATTTTCCCAACCTTCTCAGTTAAATCAATAAGTATACACTGAAGTTATGATAAAATATCTTTTCTTCTTTAGATGGACACTTTTGTAAATCCGCTTCGCAATTCTATGAGGAATGTTTCAAATGCAGTTAAATCCCTTCCTGATAGCTTGGCAGAGGGAATGACTAAAATGTCAGACAACATGGGCAAAATGTCAGAAAGATTAGGTCAAGATATAAAGCAGTCATTTTTTAAGGTAAGAAGATGTTTTCATTAATTTCTAGACAAACTTTTTAAGTCAGCTAAGCATTACTGAGCTCCTGTGTAGATTTGCCTTATTTCCTTTTTGTTCTCTGGAGACATAGTTTTATAGAATAAAAAACTCGAGAGAATAAAATTATAGCAGAAATAGATACTGTGAATTCCAGTCACTCCTTAGTCTCTATTATGGTAGAATTTTATTTTATTTTTCTTATTGGTAAGTTTTTATTAAGATGCTTTTTAAAAAAAATTGTTTATTTATATACATTTTATATCATTGTTCTTTTTTTTTTTAAACAGTGTTTACTTTCTTTTCTCAGGTGTGGTTCCCATAGATTTCCACCACCATGTGCAGTTGAATTGGTGGAGGAAATTCTATGGGGACTACATCTAAGGATGGAGGGGGGAAGCAAACATTGTTTAAAAATGAACAATGATGTAAATATATATATAAATAAATAAATTTAAAAAAAAAGAATTTCTACCACCAATTCATATGTGCATTGTCAATATAGTCCCTTTTTAAAAAAAATTTAAGTGAATTTTAAAATTTACTTAGTTATTTATAACTTGGAAAGTTTTACACAATGGAATACTACTCAGCAATCAAAAAAGATATACTCATGCCATTTGCAGCAACATGGAAGGAGCGAGAAGGATTATGCTCAGTGAAATAATACAGCAGGAAAAAGAAAAATATCAGATGGTTTCACTTATAGGAGGAATATAATGGAACCAAACAGGTATTAAGGGGAAAAATAAAGACAAAACTAGCAGGCAAACAATAAATTGGAGACATTCAGCAGGGTGGGTGTGGGGGGGGGAGGGCGGGGAGGAAGAAGGATCAAAATAGGGGAGGGAAGAGCAGAAGAGACTATGGTGACATCACTGGTGTCATGGTGGTGGTAATTTTATGGGGATTACATCTGAGAGTAGAAATCAAGCTTGTACAAAAATGAATAATGACGTGAAAATATATAAATAAATTAGAAACAATAAAAGCAGGAAAGTTAACATTCTTTATACTGTTTTATTCCATTATGCCATTTTTATCCTATAATGCTATGAAATGAAATAACAAACAAGTACTATTATGCAAATTATATCAATATTTAACGGGTACTAAAGTCAGACTTCTGATTCAGTAGATGAAAGGGAGGGAAACTTTCACCATCATCAGTTTCTGGGGGTCATACTTATCTGTGTGTGTATGTACCTGTGAGTGCTATAGAAGTATTTCCCATGAGCTTTTTCATTATGTAAGCAGATACATGAAGTTAACCAAATGGTTTGTTACATTCCTAATTTATGTTTATTATAACTTTGACCTAGTTGTTTAAGATATAATGAAGACTGTAAAAGAAAGCATACAGCTATTGGAGTTTTCTGTTTGTTAGATCAGGTTTGAATGAAAAAGAAATACATATATAAGCACAGATTTTCTTCACTGTAAGAGACAACTCCTAAAATAGTGTGTGTAAATCATACTTCTCTGTTAATTCTCATACTTTCCCTCATCCTTTGTCTTTATTTCTAATTATGGAGAAGTACATTAACACTGAAATGAGGATTGTCCAGTACCACTTCTGCTGATTAGTACTCATAGAACTCTGTACAAAAGTACTGGACTTTGTACTCAACAATAACACTATAGGTTTCAAATAGGTGATCTTGATGTTCTTTCCTGTGCTGGCACATCATTATGAACTAACACTTTTCTTTCTGTCCTTTTCTCCCTATAAAGTGAGGTAACTTACATTATCTAATAATTGGTTAACTAATTCCTTAATCTACTAACACACTACCGATCTCCGTATGGTAAAAAAGAAGATTGAAGTTCTTTCCTCTAACTGTGCTACTATTAATTTTTGATCTTTAAGTCATTTAACCTATATAACTTTCAATTATTTTTTAAAGATATGGATGATTGACTAATCTGCCCTTCCAACTTAAAAATCAGTCCTCTTTTAAAGAAAAAGTCTTTAGTAATTAAATAATCACCCTTTTACATTTGGTTTCTGATTTTATACTGTTAGTACTTTTGTTAATACTATATAAACTTTTCTTATAATATTGTAACAAAAATCAAATCAAAGACTGGGGGGGGTTATACTTGATACTAGTTTTGATTTATTTTTAGGGTGTGTTCTTTCATTAGCTGCTTTAGTGTGTTTACTTTGTTTTGTCTTTTAAAATGTTAGGTGCCTCCTTTAATTCCGAAGACAGATTCAGATCCTGAACATTGTCGAGTTTCAGCTCAACTTGATGATACTGTGAGTTAATTTTGATAGTATTCATTTTTAATTCAAATCATACTTGGCAGCTCATTTTAGCTTTTTAATGAAGTATAATATGTGTACCTATCATTAATGTGCATACATTATGTTAATTTTGTTGAATTCTTATAAACTGAGCGTACCTATCGAATGCATACTTTAACAAGAAACAGAACATTACCAAAAAGTTATTCCAAAAAGTTCTCTCTTCCTGTCTCTGTCCTCTTCCCCCACCAGTTATCATCACTGATTTCTACTGTGCTTTTATACTTTATATTAAAAAACTATGAGGTATGTGTTCCTTTAAGTCCAGCTATTTTGGGTCTTCATTGTGATATTATACCATGTTGTCTTGTGTAATTGTAGGGTTTTTTTTTTTTTTAACAATTGTGGCCGTACAGTATTCTCTTTTATAAGTAGATTTCAGTTTACTTATGTATTATGAAGAGTGTCCCTGTCAACATTCTGGTACATATTGTCATTTAAAAAAAAAAAAATACTACACATTTCTTTAGGGTCTTTACATAGGAATGGAATTGCTTGATTAGAGGGTATGTATAAGCAAAGTCTTACTAGTTACTGCCAAATAGTTTTCCAAAGTCTTTGTACTACTTATACTGAGACCACCAATGCATAAGATTTCCAGTGATCCACATCCTGTCAACACTCAATATGTTGCATCTATTTAATTTTAGCCATTCTGAGTCTTGCAGCTCATGAATTTCCATTTCTTCAATGACTTTTGAAAGACTGGGCTGCTTTCCTATGTTTAAGAACCATTTGGGTGTCTCACCCATTTTTCTGTTCGCTTGGGTTTTTTTTCCTTCTTGATTAATAAGAATGCTTTATATAATCTGAATATTTGTTCTTTGCCAGATATATTTATATACAGATCTTGCTCTGCTTCCAATGGGGGTATGTCCCAATAACCCCATCATAAGTTGAAAGTATATTTTGAAAATACATTTAATACACCTAGCCAGCAAACATCACAGCTTAGCCTCACCTACCTTAAACATTTTCAGAACATTAGACTACAATGTGGGCAGAGTCATCTCACACAAAGTATACTTTATAATAAAGTATTGAGTATCATGTAATTTATTAGAATACTGTATTGAAAATTTAAAACAGACATAAGGAAGCATGAAAACACAATATCCAACACAGTAGCAATACAGTATACTACAGCATGTCAGTTGTTTATCCATCTGATTGTGTGACTGACAGGGGGCTATGGCTTACTATGCCCAGAATCATTAGAGAGTATCCTGTCACATCACTGCTAGCCCCAGGAACAGATCAAAATTCAAAGGATGGTTTCTACTGAATACATATTACTTTAAAGTTAGAAAATTGTTAAGTGACGCTAAATCCAGAAACATCTTTATTCTGAATATCCGGTACTTTTATGTCCTTCTGTGCACTATAATCTGTGCTTACTGCAAAGTCACAAGGATGTTCTCTTATGATTTTTTTTTAAGAAATCTTTTTTTTTTTTTTTTAATCTTAAATTTTATTTTTATATTCCCCCATACAATTGCAAACGCCCCATTCTGACCCCAATCCTTCCCCTCCCGCCCCCCACCCCCCAAAAAGTGTCTCTGGTTCATAGTTTTTTGTTGATTTTGATTTTCACTTTCTTATATTCATTTTCCTGGTCCCTTATTTAAGTTTTCTAGATTCCTGCTATGAGTGAGACCATCTGGTATTTTTCTTTTTCTTTTTGGCTTATTTCGCTGAGCATGATCCCTTCCAGCGCCATCCATGTTGCTGCAAATTGCATGTGTTTATCTTTTTTGAATGCTGAGTAATATTCCATGGTATATATGTACCACATCTTCTTGATCCAGTCATCTACTTTTGGGCATTTGGGTTGTTTCCAAAGCTTAGCTATTGTAAACAGTGCTGCTATAAACATAGGGGTGCAGGTGCTCTTTGGAATTGATGTTTCTGTGTCCTTTGGGTAAATACCTAGGAGTGGAATTGCTGGATCATATGGAAGCTCTATGTTTAGTAGGTCCAGAAATCTCCACACAGCTCTCCATAGTGGTTGGACCAGTTTGCACTCCCACCAACAGTGCAGAAGAGTTCCTTTTTCTCCACATCCTCGCCAACATTTGTTGTTGCTAGTTTTTTTAATATGTGCCATTCTCACTGGTGTGAGATGGTATCTCATGGTAGTTTTGATTTGCATTTCCCTGATTGCAAGTGATGTTGAACATTTTTTCATATGTCTGTTGGCCATTTGCATTTCCTCTTCAGAGAAGTTTCTTTTTAGCTCTTCTGCCCATTTTTTGACTGGATTATTTTCTTTGTTGTTGCTAAGTCTCATCAGCTCTTTTTTGTTTTATCCAAAAAGACACCCTACTGAATGGGAGAAAATATTCACACACCATACATCTGACAAAGGTATGATATCAAAGATATACAAAGAACTCCTAAAGCTATACAAAAACAAAACAAATAACTCAATTAAAAAATGGGCAAAAGAACTAATCAGACTCTTCTCCAAAGAAGACATTCAGACTGTAAACAGGCACATGAAAACATGTCCACCATCAGTTATTATTAGAGAAATACACAAGGTCACAGTGAGAATGGCCCATAGTTGAAAAGACCAGAAACAGGTGCTGGTGAAGATGTGGAGAAAAGGGAACTCACCTGCACTGCTGTGGGAATGCAGACTGGTCCAGCCCTTATGGAAAGCAGAATGGAGGTGTCTCAAATCAATAAACATGTATCTGCCATTTGACCCAGTAATTCCACTCATGGACATCTGCCAAAAAATTCAAAAACACTAATTTGAAAGGAGACTTGCACTCCCATGTTTATTGCTGCACTATTTAGTATAGCTAAATTATGGAGACAGCCTAAGTGCTCCTGAACAGGTGAGTGGATCAGGATGAGATATGTATACATGATGGAATTTTACTCAGTGATCAAGAAAGATAAACTCATGCCATTTGCAGCAATCTGGATGGAACAGGAAGGGATAATGCTAAGTGAAATAAGTCAAGAGAAAGATAAATACTGGATGATGTGTCTAATATGTAAAATATAAAGTAACTAAACTAAGAGTCAGATGAAGACAAACGTAAAAACTAGCCCTTGAATGCTGACTACAGAACCCAGGAATCAAGGCGGGGCGGGGATAGAGTTAGGTAAGAACAAAGAGGGAAGGAAGCACAGTGGACTATGGTGGTGGACTATGGGTGATTAGATGGTAGGTGTATTAGAGTGGTAATACCTGATGGGGATATCCAAATATTACCTCAATTAAAAATAAATAAATAAATGTAATTAAAAAAATCTTTTTTTGTTCAATCATGCCAAAATTTAGACTTGCCTTTCATCTAGGGGATTTTGTGTGTGGAATGAGGTAGGGGGCTCCATTTGATCCGAGCATCCTTTACTGAGAAGGCTGTCTTTCCGGATTGTACTGTTTCTTCTTTGTCACAAATCAGATGTATTCTGCTCTGTTAGAAAGATTTATTTTAAAGATAAGACTATTCCCTTTCATTGTTTATGATTGATTTTCTTTGTAATGAACTGTCTTAAACATAACATTTTACTTGATTTTACAAGAATATTTACAAGTATGTTTTGTTACGAGTTGTACCAGCATAATATCTATAACATCATACCTTTTGTTGTAAGGTTTTTATAAATTAACTGTTTATTTGAATTGTCATGGTATCAATCTCAGGAATATACTTGATCAGAGAATATTCTTGATAAGAGCAGTTTTATTTTGGCTACATAAACCACTCCTGTTTTAAATGTCAAATGAAGGGATGGTACATTAAGACAGTGTTTACAATATGACTGAAAACTTTATGACTTAAATTTCAACATTGGTAAGAATATAACTGGCAAGCATATCTTAGTAATGAAAGAATTATAAAATTACTGGCAATTATATCTAGTTATGTTGCAATTCTAAATCTGTGTTTGTTTTTTACTTTTTATTTGTTTTTCACAACAAAGCATTCTTTTTATATTGCTAATCTAATTTTTTCCCATAATAAAATGAAAATTTTTAGTTGTTAAAGGTTAAAAGAAATTTCTAGTAATTTAGTGAAATATACCTTTTTTAATGTTATCTTAGTCAAGTACTGCATTTTATTTCATCTTTTCTTTTTCCTGAAAATACCTGAATACAGCTCACTAGCCAAGGCAAACATATTCTATGTTATGTTTTGTCTTATTAAATAGAGAAGTTGAGAATTTTTTTCTTAAAGATGCTACAGAAAATAAGCAAAGAAGCTAACATGTGCCTTTAATGGACTCTAGTAAAAGAACTAACATCTTTTCCTAAGACCCTCATAAAACCACTTTGAGAAGTTTTCTTTTCTTTTTTGTTACTATAGCCTTGGAATTTACTCATCATGATAGGTTTATAAATTCTGTAGTCAATCAAAATGACTTAAAATATTTTTTTATAAATTGATATGAAATGATCGTGAAGGCTATAGTCTACCTTGTCCTATGACTGACTTGTAAAATATTATCAGTCCTTTTGCAAGAATAACCATTCTTATTAGATAGGTAACTCAAATGTATCCTGTTTCTTTCATATTTTGTCAGGTGGATGACAATATTCCACTTAGGGTAATGCTGCTTCTTATGGATGAAGTATTTGACTTAAAAGAAAGAAATCAGTGGTTGCGAAGGAATATCAAAAACCTGCTTCAGCAGCTTATTAGAGCCACATATGGTGATACTATTAATAGGTACCACTCTTTTTTTCCTTCTTTCCCACCCCACTTATCTTTTACTTAGTTTTTAGATTTTCAGTTTTTCTCAACTTTTATAGGAAAAATTTCTCCTTTGAGCCTTTTAAAGGGTGTTGCTTTCACAGATAATTTGTTTATTCTATGAAGGTAGTATTTCTTTACCTTCTAACATTTTGACCATACTCATTTCACTTTCTTGACTTTCAGAAAAATAGTTGACCATGTTGATTGGATGACCTCACCTGAGCAAGTGGCTGACTTAGTGAAACGTTTCAGGTATATCTTAAGACATAGTCACTTCTTTTAGTAGAATAGAGTTCATTGTTATCACTAATTCACTTTCATTGCTTTTCTTTTCTCCCTGGTCATAAAGTTGGTTTTTGTCATCACTGATAAGCAAAATGACTTGTAACAATTATGGTAAATATTTGCCCCATTTCAAAAAATGTGAAATTTTTCAAGATAATTAAAATAGTGGTGTAGCAGTGGCATGGTCATATGCCCAGATACCTATTTTGATTTTTTTTCTCAGTTGTATTTGCTTAACATTGATTTTTAATGAAAATATTTTAAAACATGTAGTCTTTGACCATGGTTTAATATTTTATTAAACCTCTGAAAAGTATTCAGATTAATAACAGTGATACCCCATCATATTTTCATTCTGTAAAAATATTCTGAGCCTCTCCTCATGCCTAGCCCTCTGCCAGTCACCAAGATTTTTTTTAAAGCTTAGATGTTTCCAATGTGTGGAGCTAAGAATGACTGCTGTGGGTGGGTGGTTTCTCTTTCTCAGACAAAATTCCCTGATGATAGCTTAGTTACTGTGCTCAGTGCTTGCCTTTGACCTGAGAATAGGGAACAGGAATCAAGCATACTGTGAATGTGAAGGAGAGTAAATTATATATGTGAAAAGAACACTGAGATCACGCCAGCTCTATGGGGAGGGTGAAGAGTTTGTTTTGCGTTCACTTAGTTATAAGAAAACTGAGGGGAATTAAACACACTGTAGTTGTGTTTAGGTGGAATGTTTAATCTCAACGAGATCAAAGGCCTACTTTGAGTTTAAATAGCTGTGATATAGTCATCTATATATTACACTTTGTTATCTTTGTCATTTATTAATGTTTGTGAGTTATTCCAGAATTAATCTTTTTCTTGTGAATATCCTTTTATACTAAAGTTGAACCCTGTAATTAGTTACTGTTTGTTGAATATTATACCTATAAAATTTCAGAAACTTTCCCTTTTTCTGTTTACATGTGTGTTTTCTATAGAAAATTGGGATAATTTTACCAATTTGCATCATTAGAAAATGAAAGTATTTACAAAATTTATTTAATCTTCTTAAATAGAGATGCCTTTTGGCCAAACGGCATTTTAGCAGAGACTGTTCCATGCAGAGATAAAGCTATTCGAATGAGAACAAGAGTTGCAGGAAAAACTAAATTACTTTCAATTATGCCAGGTGAGTTAACATGTTTGGTAAAAATTAATTTGTAATTCTGAGTTTTTGGGCATTGAACTTGCTAATTTAGCTGCCTTATGATTAAAATGACTACCATTTCGATGACTTGATACTAAGCACTGTGCTTGGCATTTCACATATATCCTTAACTTTTACTCATAACAACATTATGAAGCTAGGCTCTATTAACATCACAGGCTTATATGTGAACAAACAAAGCTTGGACAAGTTATTTTGGCCATCCAGGGTTTTATAGCAAGTAAGTGACAAATAGAACTCAGCTCTGAATGACTTGAAAGCCTGTGCTTTTAACCACTTCACTTTGCCACCATGAATCATTTTGAGAATAATTGATAATAAACATGTGAAAAATGAGAGGACTAGTAAAAGAATATAAAAGCTTGAGACTTTCAGGAATATTTATTGCTCTTAAGAGAACAAATTCTTTCAAAGTGTCCCTTTACATAGAAACAAATCTTTATTAAAATTTGATTATAAAGAAAGTATACATAGTGGCATTCTCTTGATCTTGTTAGAAATCACCTCTTTAGTTAACCTCTTTAGAACATCCTGTCTCACTTAGATCCACTTTGTCCTTTTTGGCTTCTTTCAATACTAGAGGCAATATAATGTGAAAGCAATTTTGTGTGACTTGGGTGCTGATTTGGTCCCTTCTTTGTTTATGATTATCTTTGAAAATACCTAGATTTTTTTTTCCACGTTTTAATTGTGGATGTAGATTTACTTATGGAAAATAAATAATAGCTCTTTAATATAATGCCCATTTCTTTTTCAATAATTTTTCTTTAAAACTGTATTTTATTCTAAATTTTAATCCTTGTCTTTCCCTTTTATCAGTTAAATTGGAAATGTTCCATATTAGTAATTCTGCTCTATGAATTATTGTATTGCATTTGGAGATAAAAAAGCAAATTCTCGAAATAAGCCAAAAAGAAAAAGAAAAATACCGGATGGTCTCACTCATAGCAGGAATCTAGAAAACTTAAATAAGGGACCAGGAAAATGAATATAAGAAAGTGAAAATCAAAATCAACAAAAAACTATGAACCAGAGACACTTTTTGGGGGGCGGGGGGGAAAGGATTGGGGTCAGAATTGGGCGTTTGCAATTGTATGGGGGAATATAAAAATAAAATTTAATATTTAAAAAAAAAAAAAAAAAGCAAATTCTGCAGAATAGCATGTTAGAAAAATGGAAAGAAACAATTTAGGATTTATTTAACATACTATTGGAACAAACCAAATTGTGGTTTATTTTGACTCAATTATGCAGTGAAAAGTAACTTTAATTCATTTGTTCAGTAAATATTTATTGAGTGTGTATCATGTGCTAGACATTATTCTACATTAGTTCTTGCTTTCTTGGAGCTACATTCTATTGGGGGTAACAGAAAACAAAACAAATAAAATTTAATGTGTTAAAAGTGTTAAGTGCTGAGGTAATAGACCAGGAAAAGGGAACTGTCAGTAAGCTGCAGTTATAGAGTAGCCAGGAAAAACCTCCCTGAAAGATCACAGTTGTGTGAAAACATGAAGGAAGTGTGAGGGTACATATGTATGAATTTAATAAATATATAATCCCTTACCTGATTTTTAGTAAATTCACCTATTATTTGCTTTAAGTCATACTGTACCAATAATTAGGTTGCATACCTTCTAAAGTTATGTATTTCTTTCTAAAGCAATGAAATAGCTACTTTTGGAAGCCCTGACTATCAATAACTGAGAATAATTATACGTATTGTTCCCATATTCAAACATCTCTAGTAACTTCATGTTGTCTGTAACCCCCAGATGTGGTCATCTTGACAGGCACAGCACTATTATTTTTCCATTCTTTCTATACTTTATCTTACAGGGATCTTAAATCCAGCCAAACTGTGCTGCCTTCATTTCTTGAGCTTGTCTTTCTTTTATTATTGAACTTAATGTTCATTTGCTTATTGATGTTCTTTCCACCAAAATTGATTCTTCATCTATTTGCATTTTTCAAAATCCTGTTCAGGTAGCCAAGTCTTCAGATGTCACTTTCTAACAGAAAATCTTTTCTTATTATCGCATGTGGATTTTTCCCACCTGTAAATATCTTTATATTTTTACTATTTTAATGACATTGCTGCTGTGTCCCAAGTTTTTTTAGATTATAGATTAGCTTTCACACATCTTTTTTTATAGCATTTCTCACTATGCGTTATATGTAGAGAGAATATTTGTGTAGTGCTTTTGAATTTACAGATCCTGTTTCACTTCTCATTAAAGCCTTAGGAATCCTTACAGTTAACAATAATATTGTTAATATAAACCCCCAGTTTTATAGATGAAGAAACAAACTCAGGATGGGTAAGTATCATGTAGGTATTAAAGATATGGATTATAACTCTAACTGGATGATTCTGAGTCTGGGTCCTTTTTTCTCCTGTGTGGTATTGCATAAGTGAATGGATGTAGACATGTATAAATTTTAAGTTTCAGTTACAATAAGTAAGTTCCAGATTGACTGGAAACCTAATGTTTTTCAGTTATTCTGCTGTGTACTTCACATATTTTAATTTAAAGCATGGTTTAGACATTATGTTTCCTTTACTGAGTAATAATTTATGTTTATTTTTCCATCCTGTTCACACAGATGAACTGAAGCACATTATTGGAGCTGAAACAACACGGAAAGGTATTCTTCGTGTTTTTGAAATGTTTCAGCACAACCAGTTAAATAGGAGAATGGTTTATGTCTTCTTAGAAGGCTTTTTGGAAACCTTATTTCCACAATATAAATTCCGTGAACTTTTCAACAAACTGCATTCACGGTCAAAGCAGATGCAGAAATATAAACAGAAACTTCAAACTACTCAAGCGCCTTCTTTACAGAAAAGGTGACCCTGCAATCTATGAAGCTGGTATTCATTTTGTCCAAGACTAATGGTATGGACAGATCTTCTGGGGCTTAACTCATACTGTTGTGTCTGCACCAGTCTTTTAGTGTCTCAAATAGATTATTAATAATCCATAAGACTGTGAGTCTTCACATCCTCGTCTGTAATCCAGCCACTATGAAGAGAGATTTCTGTGTCTTATATGATTTGGTGCATATTTTTGCAACATTGAGAGGATACTGCCCTCATCTCAAGCAAGAATGACATCAGTCTCTTCTGTTTCAAACTAAACAGCATTCTCCAGCAATGACAAAGTGCCAGAGTGTATATATGAGAGCTAAGGAAAGCACAAAACAATGGTTCACAGAAAAACTGGCTAATTTGCTTAGCAGTGGGAGACTGTGCAATTGTATGAGTTTGAGAGATTGATTTGCATAATGATTTTATAAGTCTTTATCAGAATTTTGATACAGTGTGGTTTAGCCAATGAATGAGCTTTGGAACAGCTGTTTGGGGAACGTGACAGAATGCCATTAAAATATAAACTTATACCTGGATTATAGTTTTGTGACATAAAACAGTATAAAATAGAACCAATCAAAAATAGAACTTGATTGGATTTGTTATTCATTGGTATAAAACAAATTTTAATTGATGTGCTTTAAGGGCTCTATCTTGCTCTTATGGTACTACTCAATCATAAGTTTTCTTTTGGCATTCTGTGTGCAAAAAGAAGCATGTGGTGGCTCTCATTTAAGTTTCAAAATTATTCCGGTTTTCTTTATCTTTAAGAGATTACTGATTATACAGTAAGGGGTATAATTTGTTGAAAGAACTGCCAAATATATTCTGTCCTAAAAACATGGAAATAAAAAAAAAATATTAAAAGTTACCATTTAATAATTTTAAATTGTGTAATCTAGACATACCTTAGGTAATTGCGAAAATAGCAAATCAATGGATTAAATGAGCTTATTAGTCATATATAGACATACAGATCCCTGAATCTATTAGTGTATATATATGAAAATAATGAAAACAGAACTATAATATTTTTTAAAATATGCTTTTATTTATATTTTGCATAATGTAAAATTCTACTAAATAAAACCAGTTGGCAAAACCCCTCAGTGTATATGTTTAAGTCCCTAAAATAATTTTATACCACTACCAACAAAATACCTTTTCCAATTTTGGAGACTCTGTATTTCCTGTAGTTTTTTCATTCTCCATTTGTCCATCTTGGAAAACTTCATATTCCTTGTATGCAGAATTTCTGCATAGTTTTAAATCCTTCCACTGACTAAGGGTTTGAGTATGTCAGTGTTTTTTGTTTTAAAAATATTTAACACTAAAACCTTAAAATAGTGAAGCTACTTTTCAGACCACTGAGCCAAGATCCTGGTATTAAAAGAACGTCCGTCCGGGTGCTTAAGACAAAGGGACAGAATTGGTATCCCAGTTATTTGGGAGCTTTAAGGTTGGAACAAGATATAATTGTCTTGTTTTCACTGAAATCCTACTTACAAAGTGAAGCCTAATAACAGAATAAAGCCTTCCTTTAAAACTTTGTAATAATCATATTTATTAATAATGCTATTGTGCATACTTATAGTATGCATATTTTGAGCATGTGTTGCATGTCTTCAAAATTACATGAATGAAATCCCTGTCATTGCAATTTGCAAATGAGAAAAGATCCTTCTTTACTCTGACAGAAGAAATTATTTCTTCTTAGTATGTCTCCCTGCCCTGGTTCCTTCCAATGCCCCAAGCTTTAAAAGTGACAATATGTGAAACGTATAGGAAGTATCAGCACGGCCATAAGTGCAATGACTTTAAAATAGACCCCTGCCCATTTCAAGTATATTTTTGACGTGAATAAATATAAGATTATACAGAAGAATTCACGTAAGAGTCTAGCATGTACATGTGGAAAAGCATTTCTGGAGAACTTGAGGAATGCTAGTTATCAACCAGGGAAAGAAAGGTATGCCAGATAGCAAATTTTCATAACAGAGCCCTGCAAGATAACTGCAATCATACCAAAAACTATTTGAGTAAATGGGTTTTTAATAATTTTTGTTTAAAAGAGTTTATATTTCAAAAACAGAAATGTCGAATGGCAGTCTGTGTAAACGGTTGTGCATCTTCTTTATGCACATCTATGTTTTACATCAGAGAGAGCCGTGGTCATGCTAAAATCAGAGATACTTTTTGAATGACTTGGTCAAGCTGTGTGTAAAATATTTAACCCGTGAGTCAAGTACAGTGTACTATGTTTAATAAAGCTATTCTACTTAATGCATTTATTGCATATATGAATATATACATGAAGAGGCTTTATGTCTTCAGATATTTGATTTTTGAATGTGTTTTTAAAGTCAGTGGTGCCTTTAGGCAAGAACTTTCTAAATTAATCATTTTTTGGTTTGGATTTGGTTTTCCAGGTAACATGAACTACTTAGAAACCATCACTACTAACTTACAATTCATTCACCTAAAAGAATTGATTGTATGATTTCAATATAGCGCTTAGATGAGCATTTCCTACATTACAGGAGTTCTGAATTGTTGCTGAAAACAATTGTGCCATTTACCTATGGATGCACTTGGTTAGCCTTAATTTTTTTTTAAAAAAAACATTAAAAGACTTTCTTGAATATTTTAGTTCACTCATTTTAAGTTTATACTGCCGGTTTTGGGAAAAATCACAGAGTTAAGTGCTACCAGAAAGTGTACCAATTTTTAAAAAGTTAAGAACGATATAAATTTCACAATCTAAAATTTTAATTTTGTGCAATATTTTCATTTAACGCATGTGTATTTGAGTAATTGTAAAATAAATTTTTAATGTTTTGAAATCTAGTTTAAACTGTCTTCTTAACAACTTACATTCCATTGTTGCTGCATCCTTTTATTTAAGGACTTGTTTTAAAAGTCTTTTTTGTCACTCCTTGTAAAATTCTTTTGTTATTAGTAAATTTTGCTTATAGGAGCATGACTCCTGTATTACAAGGGAAAAATATAAAGAGCACATCTTAGAATTATAATTGTTAAAGGTAACTTGTGCATATTATTGTACAGTGTCAACTAGTTGTTCTATCAATACTTTTCCTCCTTTAACAAAGAAGGAACAGCAATCAGAATGTCAGATGTTTTTATTGAACTGAAAAGATTAAAAAGTTTATTTGGTTTGCGTTTGTTCTGTCCATTAGAATATACTAATAAAGTATTAACAAATTTTTTTGTTGAATTTATGTAGTGGTGATGCATTTTTATTACTTAAAAAAATGCTTATTTGAATGGCCTTATTATCTATATTTTATTTTAGCAATCAAGAAATTAAAATTCCAGTTGATTGATAAACTAATAAGTGATTACTAATACAACACTCACTGACTTTTGTTTTTCCTTTTATGGGGTAAGTTGCCACCACAATAAGAAATTCCATACTTTCCTATCATATGAAAGTAAAAGTTTTCCATAAAAGAAAGATCTATAGTAAGTCATCCATTAACAAATTCTATTTGCTCTCATCTTAATTTATAGTATGCCTAATATTTTAGATGTTTTAGTTCTAAAGGTAAGAAGTTCAGTATTCAGCAGTGACTGATATTTTCAGTCTTCTTGGACCTGTATTCACAGATTCTCAGATGTTATCACTATAACCCTACCAGGGACATGCACAGCGAACACACCTTTCAGAGCAGTTATACCTGCTGTTTAACTCTTCTGCACAACTGTATTTGTTTATACCTTGATTCAAAGAAAGGGCTAATAGAAACTGTTGAGTTTCACTTAAGGTCAGTACAATTTATCATTGGTACAAGTCTCCATCCCTAGAGGTGAAAACATAGCAAAGAGAATTTAGATGTAGATAGAAGGACAAAAAGAACAAGTGAAATTGATACTAACATAAATACATATATTGTAATCAAAAAGCTGGAACAACAGATTTGTGTATTTCCAATAAAGATTCTCATAGCAGTCATATAGCACTTACTAGTTTCAGCAACTTTATAAGGTATAGATAGTATTATCTTCTCCAGTTTGTAGATGGGAAAACTCATGTATAGAGTGATTGGCCCAATTATCCAAAGTTTCACAACTGTAAGTGATCAAGCTGAAACCAGAACCCAGGTGGTCTCACTCTACAGTCTCTCAGTTTCTCAATAGTGCTATTGATGTTTTGAGCTCTGTAATTCTTGGTTGTGGGAGCTGTCCTGGACATGATAGGTTGTTAGCAGCATCTCTGGATTCTATCCACTAGATTTTGTAGTTAATGCTCCCACTGTCTTGACAACCAACAATGTTTCAGATGTTGTCAAGTGATGTCTGAAGGCAAAATTATCAGCAGTTGAAAAATGTTGATTATGCTCTTGGTCACAAAAACAAGATATATTAGGGGCTGAAGACTTCAGTTCTGGGTATCTATGTCTTTTCTTAAGGCAACACCTGATAAATTTGTGACTTTATAGAGAGGATGTCAATGCCGAATTCTTAAGAGGAGAAGGAGACTGAGGTCAGCAAAATCAAATGTTTTACCTTGTCTTTCTTTAGCTTCTGATAATTGAGATCTTTGTCCCAACTTGTGATGAAGAAAATAGGATTTTTCTGGAAAGAGGTGTGAGATGAATGATTTTATGAGAATACTTATTTTACTCCTGTGGCCAGATTATTAAATCAGTAAACATGGATAACTGTGGGATAGTTTGATTTTATATAATTTACCCTAAGAAATAAAATAACTGTTGGCCTTTTTATTTTGTGAGCTAGTCCTTATAGAGCTTGAAATTTCCTTATAGTCTTTGTAAATTAATCTCTTTTCTAAACACCTGTAGGGTAAAGAAAATATCAGGCCTTTCTGCCCTTCCGCCATCAGGATAGATGATGGATCCTTGTCCTGAATGCATGCCTGATGGCGGGCACCTGGAATAGGGTGTGGGCATAGGTAGATGGGATTCAGCTGAGCTAAGACTGTGCTTTTAAGGGCGGCGTCACGGGGACGCAGCAGAACGAACGCTAGAGAGCCCAGATAGAGTGAAGACTTGCTAGGGGCTGGGAGGCCTGTCAGCCTCCCAGCCCCCCAGCCAGCACCCCTGCCTGCCATATGCCTGGTGAACCCCAATAAAAGACCTGCAAAACTACTGAGGACTCTGATTACTCCTTTACCCGGTCTGCATGGGATCAGGAAACCTGCACTGTGGCCAGTCCTGCCTTTACAACACCCTTGTATCTGAGTTTTTGATGGGTAGACATCAGAGGCACTTACTTTGCCTCCAGGGGTGAACCTCATTCAAGAATTAGAACTCTTGGGCCTACCCTGGTGGCACAGGGGTTGAGCGCTGGGTTGCGAGGCTGCCCGCAGCCTCTGCAGCGCAGGTTTGTTCCCCAGCTGCTGGTGAGGGTCCCCCCCCCCAAAAAAAAAGAATTAGAATTCTTGCTGACTTTTTTTTTCTCCCCTCCTCCCCCTACAGTCTTGGAATTAGTGAACAGCTATTGCATTTCTCAATAAGTAGAGCAATGTTTGGAAGCTGATTTTTTGTAGTTAGACCTTCTAATTCTATCAAGCGGCCATTTCGGGTGGTGGCGGGGGTCTGTTTTAAGGATTCTAATATATGCTGACATTTCAGCATAGGTTTTGTCAGGCTGTTAACCTCACCTGGGATTAAGAAATTGTTAATGGGCCTCCCCTGGTGGCGCGGTGGTTGAGCACTGGGCTGTGAGCAGCCTCTGCAGCTCTGGTTCGATCCCCGGCCACCGGCAAGGGTCCCACATGGCGCAGCAGACCTCTCCTGCCGTGCCCGCTGCTCCTCTCAGTGTGTTTCCTCGGTCTGCCTGCTCTGCTCCCCGCTCTGGCTCTGGTGAATTCTCTCACACATCCCCCCCCCCCCCCCCCCCGTGCTTCTGACTGTGCTCAGTGCTTGTATAAATAAATAAATAAGTCTTTTTTTTAAAAAAAAAAAAGCTGTTTATGTTAAACCTACATTAGTTACATGTTTCTTATGCCAGAAATAGAATCTTTCACAT